ATTTACTGTTATTTTATTTTAATAAATTTAATTGTCTGAAAAATAAGAATTTATAAAATGTAAGCGAACTGCATTTCCACTTTCTCTTAATTGCACAGCTGGTAATTCACCGCCTTGTATTTCTGTAATCTCCGTATGGTCGTCTTCATTTTCAGGAGGTATATCATTTCTTCTTCTTAAAATATTATGGATGATAGCTGTTGCAGTAATAATGATCAATGCAGTTTGTTGAGTTGTGCGTACACCTAATGATAAAGCTGGAAAGTGCCTTTTCCATATACCAAACGTAAGTTCGACAACATTTCTTGTAGATGTCTGTGCTTTCTAAACATACGTTTGTTATAAAAATAAACTAGTAGATTATAGAAAATTTTAATAACGAACTTGATATCTTTTTCCAGCAACACTAGTTGGGTTTAACAGTGGAGTGAGCAGATAGTTCTTACACTGATATCCCCCGTCTCCTAGTAGCACACTATCCCCAAATTCATTGTTTTCAAAACGAGCACGAAGTAATGAATTATCAAAGACTGTGCTATCATGACCACTACCTGGCCACCTTCAATTTTTAAAATAGCTTTTGTAATAAAATTCTTATACCTAAATTAAAGTATTACGCACTTTGCAACCATGTCCACAAATTCTAATTTTGCATCATCTACACCTTGGACATTAAAAGAAAAAAACCCTTTGCGATTTCTGTATCACTCTCCAACATCCTTATTACTTATTAGGACATTGGATTCTAATATGAGTTCCATCTACTGCACCAAATACTCTGGGAAATTGCCTTATGTTATAAAAAAATGTTGATGCAGTAATAATATCTTGTGTAGTATTTGGCATTTTAATATAATTTGGACGCATTCTAGCTATAGCCATTGATTTTATAATATACAGATAAGCCGTGCTGAAAGGGTCGGGTACTAAAAATATTATTGAGTAATGCCCGGACACCAGAAATACTTCGCGCGCACCACTAATCACCTACCGACTCTTGTACACTGTGACGTATGGTGTGTATGTGTGTGAGTAACTCAGTCGGCAGCGGTCGGGATCGCCTCACGAGTACCGACGAGCTACGTAATGTGAATGTGGTGTGTATGTGTGTATTTGTGTGGGTGTGTGCTTAAAAACTAATAATAAAAGGTAACACGTTTCAAGTACATAATTAGTTGCTGTATAATTCATGATATCAATAATAACTAATTTTACTAATACAAAAATCACAGCAACACCATGATATAATAATAATTAATATGACAAAAATATAATGATAAAATAACTCACAGTTTGTGGAGCGCAGTCTGGCCAGCTGGTCCTAGCTATATAACGAGAATAAAGGTTTTACACACACACAAGATAAAAAAATATAATAATTTTGGCGATTCGCGCCTTGACAAATACAATAATAATAATAATTTTACGTGGCCCTTCTGGCCCAACAACTAGGTATAAATACTACGCGACACACACTATATTATGTCAATACAATAAAGCGCACGCGGGTATAGAAACAATAATAATATTAATAAGCGCACAATACACAGACTAAAAAATACAATAATAATTTACGCGGCGATAAACATAATACAATCTTTTTACTGGCAATTCGTGCCGACAAAACAACTATAAATTCATTTATAAAACGGCGATTTGCGCACGTAATAACGGGTGTTTCGATTCACTAGGTATGCAAAACTGTACTGCCGCATTTGCGGCGGCCTATGTTGACCGATACCGCGTCGCGCCCTAATCTACATATTATATAATTCACAGTTGACACAATTATAACAAAAATAAACAATAATAATAATCCTAATACAAATAAAACAAATAATATTATGTGCGTGCGTGAATGTGTGTGTGAGCCGGTCGGTGGAGGGATATATGGCGATACGGCGGCGACAAGCATTATTTGGCGTCGACATCCTCCCCCCGTTGAAAATCTGATTTTTCAACACTTGAGTCATCATCATGCACTGGAAGGCAACATAGTTTCACTGTTGGTCGACGCATTTCCACTCCACTTGCCATGCGAAGAGTTACAACTCGAATAACTCCATCCTTACCAGGATGAAGCTGGATGACTCTTCCTAAATTCCATTTGGTTGGATGATTGCTTTCTCCTCTTATTATCACTACGTCATTTATCTGCATTGGTCTTATCCTGCATAACCACTTACCGCGCACTTGAAACTGTGGCATGTACTCACTCTCCCATCGTTTCCAGAATGTTTGCATCAGATATTGTACCCTTTTCCAACGCCGTATACCATTTGGCTCGGCTTCTGTGAGATCATTTTCAGGTGGTAAGAACATGGGCCCACCAATTAAAAAGTGCGCTGGTGTTAGCGCTTCTAAATCAGACGGATCGCTACACAGCGGTGTCATTGGTCTTGAGTTTACACAGGCCTCTATCTGGCATAATAACGTGTTGAGTTCTCCTAGCGTGAGCCGTGTGTCCTTCATTATCCTTGTGAGATGAAATTTTGTGCTTTTCACAGCATTCTCCCAAAGCCCTCCAAAATGAGGAGCTGATGGGGGGTTGAATCTCCATTCGATTCCTTCTCCTTCCATTCGCTTATCAATTTTGCCCATGTATGCAGTGAGCTCTTTTTGCGCCCCAACGAAATTGGTACCATTATCGCTATAAATTCTCTTGCATTTTCCACGCCTTGACATAAATCGACGTAAGCAAGCTACGAATGCAGCACTTGTTAGGTCTTCCACAGCCTCTAAGTGAATTGCCCTAGTCGAAAAGCACACAAAAACAGCAATCCAGGCCTTGATGCCGGTTACTCGACGGATTCCGCTTCTGATAACAATCGGACCAGCGAAATCTACCCCAGCGATAGCAAAAGGCCGAGAGCATTGTACTCGATCCTTTGGTAATGGAGCCATGAGTGGTAACAAAAACTTAGGTCTTGCCTTTACACACTGAACACAACGTGATGTTACTGAACGTGCCATTATTCGTCCTCTCAGTGGCTAATACATTCTTCTTATTTCAGCCAACAAAGCCTGTGGTCCACAGTGCAGTAATTCTCGGTGCCGATCTTCAAATATTAACCGCGTTATTTTGTGGCTCGCTGGTAGTACTAATGGATGTTTTTGCTGTTCAGATATGTTGGAACAGGGGCGTCATTTCAGTTTTTTTTCCGGGTGTGCAAGATTTTAGGCAGGCCAATTTTAACATTTAACCAGGCCAACTTTAACATTAATATCTAAACAATAACCATGCCGTTTAAAGTATTTAGTATTTATTTTATCAGCTATGCTATGCTTACTCCACTATAGTTGATACCAGCAGGCTGGCACGAACAGTCTTACATAATAAAACCACAGGATAAGACTCGCTTCACACGGTTGTCAAATAGGGATACATTTGATAATAAAGCTGATAAAAAAAAAAATTTAATTACATGCATGAATCAGTGGCGCCAAAATATATATTTACTTTGCGTATGGTAAGGTAATTATAATAAATAGTTGGGTGTCAACATTTTATGTGGAGGTGTCTAATGCCATAGTTAAAATGTTGGACTTCAGCGCCACTGGGCCAAGAATATTTTATTAATTTTTAATAGTAATCATATCGGCGCATAGGAGCATTAATGGAGGGCCAATTATTTATTCTATTATGTCAGTGGTGCCGTCGCACACCCTGCCCTACCCCAAATGACGCCCCTGTGTTGGAATAATCTAGGCGTCCGCCGACATGGATTAGACCTAATCTACATATTATATAATTCACAGCTGACACAATTATAACAAAAATAAACAATAATAATAATCCTAATACAAATAAAACAAATAATATTATGTGCGTGCGTGAATGTGTGTGTGAGCCGGTCGGTGGAGGGATATATGGCGATACGGCGGCGACAAGCATTATTTGGCGTTGACACGTGCTATAGGACGAAATGGAAGCAAACACTTTAGTGTTATCGGCGCTCGATAGGTGTCGTTGATGTATTTGTAAATAACTATTAATTAAAATAAGAATCCACAGCGTTCGAGCATACGGCTGTTGCGCGGTGTCAACGACAATGGTCTGTGGAGTGGACCCACGATTAAAAATATATCTATATATTATATTATCAGTCCGCCCAGTTCGTTCGCCGTTATACATATTATCAGTTATTATCGTATAAACATCAATAAAAATGGTTAAAACATTATTAACTAATTTCTAATCTATATGCAAAAGACAAGTAGGCTAGGTATTTATTTATTTTTTAATTACAAATAAATCAGTTTACAGTACCTATAATTTGTTGTAATTTGATATTTTTATTGAATTACATTACAATGATAAAATTAAATTTACTACGCATAATATTGATATTAATAATTGAGGGGTGACATTCCAAAACATACTATTGCCAAAAACTTGATTTTTCAGGAAGAGCAGTTTTCTGTTTTCGTTGAATGAAATCTCATATAGTGATAACTGATTTTTTAAAAAATAGATAAAATTCATCTGAATTGCTTTATTAAATCCAAATGAAAATTTAATAATTTTTTTAAAAGATATAACAGTAAATAAAAAAAATAAAATCATAGATTTCGTCCAAAACGTGCTATTTCCGTAAATAGTGCGTTTTGCTTGGAATTAAAGTTAAAATATATTTTAATATTTTATTTGGCTATTTTCCAAAACGCTCTATTTCCATCAATAGTGCGTTTTGCCCTAAAACAAGAAAACCAATATTTGTGATAATATAATAATAATAAATTTTTGTATTTTTTCAAACATGCTTTTCAATGGAGAGCAAAAATGTTTTTTAAATAAACTAGGTTTATACTATATAATAAGAAACTTACAAATATTATCAAATAAATTATTTGTTTATTTTGATTTTTATCACAACATTAACATAAAACATTTTTCTTATTAAAATAATAATAAAATTAAAAAAAAATTGATAACTTTTTTAAATAAAAACAATAAACTGAGTATCATGAAATAAAATACTTAAAAATATAATCAATATTCACACATCATCTTCGTTGTATTCAATATTGTCATTAATATCATCCACTGTAGTTGTTTCTTTAAATATATTGGTATAAAACTGCTCAGCTTCATTGGGTATTGTAAAGAACTTCATCAATTTTCTTACATAATTTTGTTTTTTTATACTAACATGGTTTAATCTTTGAAGCTCAGGTACCTCATTCAACTTTGATAGATCTACGTTTTTTTTTAATACTTGCTTACGAGTAATATTATCTGTGTATGTTGCCGAAACTCCAACAGTTTTCATCCCACATTTATATGAAAACACTTTTTGTTGGGTAGTTTTGAAAAAATTTTTTTTTATTAGGTCTTTTACAACAATTTTGTAATTAAAAAATTTGAAGTTACAATCATTATATTAACAGAAGTGAATTTTTTAAAATGTTCATAATAAGTGTTTGGGGAAACTATAACTTCCTTATTTCGTAATGACTTCTCAATACGACCAAAAACTTGGTCTGGTGGCATATAGCTATGGCCACGAACAGGAAAGTAATGTTTTATTTCTGTGAAGTGAATTGTTTTGTAATTAATATAGTGAAGTAAAGCTGCCATCACATATTGATTTTTATTTTGTGCTGAGCACGAGTCAGAAAATAAATTTAAGTTTGTGGGAGGATTTTCCAAAGATGAAAGTCTGTTTTCTAGTTCTGTTAAAAATGCAATTAATATAGATGTTATTTCATTAGGCCCTCTACCACTATCAGACTCTAACCAAGTGTACAAAAAACAGTTATCAATAGTTTGATATTCAGTAGAGGTTATAACAAACGTGAGATTATACAGCCAAACCTGACGACTATAGAACACTTCAGTGACACTTAACTTTGGAAGAGGTTGATTTTGCATCATATCAAAGGCCACTGAAATAGTATCACTTTTTTTTTCATGCATAATTTTATGAAAGTTCTTACTTAAAGCCTTGTGTTCATTCAATTATTTTACTAGTTCTTCTTTTTTGATTGGGTCATCCATTTTTTTTTATTTTTACAGCCATTTCAGAGCACCAACTACAAATATCCTGCCGAGGGTGGCCAAAACTTAGATTAAATTCTTGACTAAATATTCTAAAATATTTAGAATATGAAGCTATTTTTTTATTGCTATCAATTCTCATTTTTAGGCAATTTTTCCATAAATATTTTACCGATAATCCAGGTTGCAAATAACTTTTTCCAGTGTCCACCCCAGTATAATGGCTTTTTTTACTTTTATAAGTCATAATATGTGATTTTATAGATTCAGTAGTATCAATTGAATCTTGGTTGATCCTCTCTCCTCCTCTTTTTTCTTTTGGACTAGCATGGTTCTTATTGAACTTAAATGATAATAAATTTAAACGACGACGTGAAATAGAAGTAACGGAAGTAAACGATTTTGAACACACTGGAATCATGCCCTCATTAATTGATGGTATAACATATTTGATAACTAACCTATCTTTAGTATTTCTTTGATTTTCTTTTCTTCGATTTTTCCTTTTTGGGTTACTTATTGATAAAAAATTAAGTAAAAATTTATCCTGATCTATTTTAGTACTTAACTTGCACAGGTTTTTTTTTAAAGTTATAATATCAATATCACTTAGCTCATTTACTTTACAAAACATTTTAGTTGAACTTTCCTGATGATTACATTCGATAGACCATTTTTCTTCAATACAATTATGTTTTAATTGTTTTAATTTTTTTTTGATTTGCTTTAAATCTTTTTCTTCCTCCAGTTACTTTGGTTATTGGTTCGTTGTACTCAGGATCCGTATTAATTGAAAGCATAGCTGATACAAATGATTTATTTAAAACATCTTTATCATTATTAATAATAGTTGGTTGATCAGTATCATCCAATGGCAAGACCAAATGTTCAGTAGATTGAAGTTGTATTGGAGAAGTGACAGCAGGTATAACAACTGATAGGTCTTCTTACAAATCTTCTGCTAGGACTGTGTTTATTGGTTCGTTGTACTCAGGATCAGCAGTAATTGAAAGCATATCTGATACAAATGATTTATCTAATACAACTTTATCATTATTAATAATAGTTGGTTGATCAGTATCATCCAATGGCAAGGCCAAATATTCAGTAGATTGAAGTTGTAATGGAGAAGTGACAACAGGTATAACAACTGATGGGTCTTCGCACAAATCTTCTGCTAGGATAAAACTAAGATTGTTTATATCCAACAATTCTTCCTGCAAAGGAAACAAAATAAAGTCACTTCAAACATAGGTAATATTATTTCAAAATGCATAGATAAATACTAAATCAAGGTAATTAGTTCAAAGAATGTAAGGTATCTACTAAATACAAATACTTTAAAACTAATTTAGTAAGTTGAGATATAATATGTAATGTAGTATGAAGTAATTATTTAATAGTTTAAGATTTTTAAATCAAAAGTAAAATGTGGTAATAATTTTAATAAGACAGTATTTTTTTTATTTGATGATAGGTACAGTTACAAGCTTTAATATTTTGTGCAGTAAAAGTGCATTCTATTTTTTTTTTATTCAGAAAACCATTAAGACAAGTGATTGAATATAATCATATTATATTAAAGACTATTTTAAACATATTATTTAAATTTAATATTTTATAAAAAAAAAAGGGTAAAAGAAAGAAAAAAAGTTATTTAGGAAGTGCAGTATAATATTATAATAACTGATAATTATTAACTGACGTCTTGTTTGTTACCATTGGGTGTGAGTTCATAAACATATTTTGAAATTGTATGTGTTAACTGGTTTTTACATTGTAAAGTGGATAGGTAATGTAATTGTAGCCATCAAATTTATTATTTTTATTAATTATTTTTTTAAAGTAAATCTCACTTTAGTGTTGTTTTCATCATCATAATATAAAAGTTGACGTTTGGATGATTTAACAGTCTTGTTTATATTCAGAGTATTCTCTGTGTAGTTATGTTGTACATTATCAACCTGAGACATTAATAATATATACATTATACATAAATATATTGTGTGTGTGTGTGTGTGTGTGTGTGTGTGTGTGTGTGTGTGTGTGTGTGTGTGTGTGTGTGTGTGTGTGTGTGTGTAAAAGTATGAGTTAAGTTTTAGACCTACCTATAATTTATAAATTCTTAAATTTAATTAAACATATCAACTTTATAGATGAAACACAATAATTATTATTAATAGTTATTTTGTTAAAACTAATTTAATCTTAATATAATTTTTACTCAAAAATGAAATATTATAATATCTTACACAAACTATATATTTAGGAACATATTATATTATAATATCCACGATCCATAGTTTAATAAAATATATGGTTGAATAATAGTTTATATAAAAGTGCCACATTAATAAAATTTCTATTAAGAGCATCGCATTGTATTCATCTTCTAAAATATATTAGAAGTTATAATAAATAGTATGAAAACATTATTTTATAAATATAATTAATGTTATATAGTTGTATTGTTACAAACATTTCAATGATTTATTAATATTATTGATACCTAAGTAGTTTAATTTAACATTCAACATTATCTTTTATAGTTTTATAATGTCTTATAAGTAGGTACTAAAACTTAAAAATGTCTTTCAAATAATTTAATAATCAGTTTTCACTATTCAGTATTATTATATTATAATACTTGGATTTTAAAATAGGTAAGCAAGAATAATTTGTATTTTAGTTCAAATAGAAACATGACTATTTTAACAAACCTACCTGTCTAGTGCTGTCAGAAAAGGATTTATTCAACCATGAATTCACTTTACTCTATAAATTAAATAATTATTATTTAAACCCAAATTTTTTATAAATGTATGTTATATATAAAATCAAATTACATTTGGACTTGTATCAGTAAACGTGTTCCTGGAAACCATATTCTGCAGTTCATTTTTTTTTTACTTTTATGCTAAAATTAAAAAAAATATATATTTAAATAGGTATAGTTAATTAAATGTTAAAATATAAACTAGTAATAGAGTGTTTTATAGCCTCCGTACAATTTAAGTAGGTACAATAAATTGACTTGAGAACCATAATAACTATAACTAGGTAGGTAAATTATATTATTAATTAACTATAGTACCGTGTAGTATTTTTAAAGTAATAATATGTAGGTACTTGTACTTACTTTTGTAGACATGCGACACATTTGCATTGCTCTATTGCCTCTATTCGCCATATTTCAATATTATTATTAGTTATTGACTATGGTGTATTTTATAATTTTTTTATAAGTGAATAATTAAAACAATATTTTATTATAGTCATCACGACTCACAAGACAGTAGACACGAATAATAAAATCCACGATGCACTACACTATCAGTAAAGATCAGCGGATAGCTGCAGTATTTTGTTAATAACTTTTCTATTAATAGAAATTGTAAACAAAGTATTGAATTATTTTTATCTCCAATTACGTAATATCAAATAAAAATGCTTGTTCTTATCTTATTCAAAATTAAATATATTAAAATATGATGTTATGTTATAAAATATTAAAGTTAAGTAAAACGTCACTGGAAATAGTGCGTTATGGAAAAAATTTTCCCCTCCACATTAGTTGCCTACATGGTTTTTAATATGGGAAATAGTGCGTTTTGGACTAAAAAAAAAATAGTACGTTTTGGATGAAATTTACTGTGTAATGCTGAGGCCACACAGAACGCTACACGCGCTATGTTCGCGATGTTTGCTATATGAATAAAAAATAGTTTTCTATCTTGAAGACGTAAATGGCCACACAGACTAGTGTACGCTACGTTTTGTTCTTAGCTACGTTGCGACGCGTCGCCGAGTGTTTGATTTGTGGCTATATTTTTGAGCGATGTGTCGCGACGTGCAGGTTTCGACAGGCATGAACATGCTAGTACCGATATCGGAAATTTAATATAGCGTGTCCTGTGATATACGAGCAACGAGCAGTCGATTATAATTATTCACGCAGACGCAGTTATAATTTATAATTCAAATTGAACCAGCGGTTTTTTGAAAAATACAAAATAAAAATAAATTATATTTTATTAATTTTCGTGAGTACTACGTCATTTTTTTAAGTGATGTTACTAGAACAGCTAATAGAGGAAGTACGCAGGTATCCTTGTCTCTGGAAGAAAAATCCGGACGAATATCGAAACCAGAACATACGTGACAATGCATGGGTCAACATTTCAAAAGAATTGAAAAAGCCAGGTAGATAATATGTATTTACTATTTTATGATGTATTTATAAAAATGTAAGATTAAGTATTCAAATGTAAAATATTAATATAAATTATAAAATATACTTTAGTACTATAGTAGAATATAATTAATATAATATAGTAATTTAATCATAATAATAGTAATTGAATAGTTTTTAACTATTTTAAGCTGTACGATTCACAATTCTTTGCTGCCATTCAACGCGACCTTCATTGGAAATAAAATATTCTTTGAATAAATTTCGGACATTTAAAGCTTCTCTACTTGAATTCGATGAGGTACCAATTCGTATTGGCATAAACACGTTAGTTTCGTTGATTTGTTCTTCAACAGTCGCTAGATTGGTTTGAGTAGTTAATTGACGTGTGTAATTGTGGAGAACAACAGTAGCTAAAATGACTTTATCTGCGAGTTCAATTCGACATTCTAATGGGCTATGATATACTCTCCAAGTGTTTGCAAGGATACCAAAAGTATTTTCCACAGTATTTCTGCTTCTTGAGAGCCTGTAGTTGAAAATACGTTCATCCTCGCTAAGTCGCCGGGCACTTCTGGGATAAGGTCTCATGAGATATTTTTTAAGAGGAAATGCCTCGTCACCAACTATTACATAGGGTAAATTTCTTCCTGCTAAATCTTCATCTGGAGGTATACCCATATTTAAGCTTGTTAAACGTTTTCCAATAGTGCTGTTACTATACACACTTGCATAACTAACTCTTCCATATTGCCCAACATCAACACAAATGAATTTTTTATTTCCATCTACTAGTGCTAGCAAAACAACCGAGTGATATTTTTTATAGTTGAAAAATTCTGAACCTTTATGAGCCGGTGCCTTAATACGGACATGCTTCCCATCGATTGCAGCAACACAATGAGGGAAGTTCCATTTTTCTTTAAACACTTTTTCTGAAGCTCTCCATATTTCTTCATTAGGATCAGGCATTACGATAGGCTGAAGGTTTTTCCATAGGGCTTCGCAGACTTCTTCGACTATGTTACTTATTGTAGACCTGCCCATGCGATAATTGAAAGCTAATGACCGAAATGAATTTCCAGTGACTAGAAACCTAAGAATAAAATAAACAAAAAACTAAAATTTATATTTATATTTGGTTTAGTGGATGAACTGAAAGGTGAATGGAAGAAGCTACAGGATTCTCAAAGACAAGCTACATTAAGAAGGAAGGCAAAAAGTGGACAGGCTGCTAAGAAAATGAAACCTTGGAAATACGAAGAAGTTATGTCTTTTCTTTTATCCGAGTCAACTCCACGTGAGTAAGTATAACTTCTAAATTGTCTTCAGTTCTTTGACCGTAGACACTTACTACAGTATTATTATTTTTTTACAGAACTTACACTAACGTCAATAATTATGATGGCAATGATACTGTCGCGGACTTGACAGATGAAGAAAATCAAATAATTGAAGAACATAGCCAAAATGAAGAAAACGTGGAATTAACATTATCAAATAATATAGAAAGTGAAGCTCAAAAGAAGAAACATAATTTTGTTGCATTCAAAAAGAATGTAGGCAAAGAAAGTGATGTTGACAAGATAATATCATTCATTGGAAACAAAAATCAAGAGAAAAAACAGCCAGGAGAACTAGATTTTTTCTTTGCTAGTGCATGTGAGAGTACAAAACGACTTCCTCGACGTTTGCAACTGAAAATTAAGCAAGAAGTTATGCGGGCAATTATAAATGCAGAAACTGAGCTCTTGGACCAACCGTCTGCTACTCCGACATCCTCTATCGTCAGTACTGAAACACCTGGTCGTGGCACAGTGGTTAGGTTGGACACACCTTCACCGGTCAGTCAAATAATACCTGCTCCTAGTCAGACATTCTTTCACCCATCAACTTCAAATCAAGTACAGGAAAGTGCATCGAATGTGATGTATGACTCGCAACAAAAGACTTACTATTTAATTTAATTGATTAAAGATTGGGCTCAAGTATTAGTGTAATTATTACCATAAACTTAATTACTAATTAATTATTATTATAAGGTTACCTATTAAAAATTAAAAATTAAAATTATTATTATTTTAAAAAGTGTTAAATTACTTACCTTAATCAAACAGCTAATCGTTCCTCGGCTGTAATACTTTCCCTGAGATTTAATTCCTTTTTCTCGATGTCCTTTTTAATAATTGATAAAAGTTGATCAAATTGTTTCATACTCATACGAAAATATTCTTTAAATTTTAATTCATCTTTTCGTATTTGTTTTAAAAGATGATGAAATTCACCAAACTTTTTACGTTCCATGTTTACTTCATGGGCCCATTTCCTTTTTTGTTTATTATTATTATTTAACGAAAATAATAACAAAGCTTCATCATCACTACTATCACTTTCCCAAGGCAACGTACCTGACAACATCTTGAACATGACTGATAACTGTTCAGTGTGACTCGTACGATATCGTGCGTAGTATACGTAGCTTGCTCTGTGTTGCCGCACCGTATAGTGAACATAGCGTACAAAGGAAACATAGTATAAATAGCATACATAGCGTAGCGTTCTGTGTGGCCTCAGCATAAATAGTACGTTTTGGATGAATTACACATTTATGAACCGATTTTTCTCATGGAATAGATGATTAAACTTTAATTCTGATTGCGCCAATCGATTTCCCGCCTTTTTTTCAATAAGAATCTATACATATCTCGATTTTGTATATTTTGGCAATAGTACGTTTTGGAATGTCATCCCTCAATTACGTTTAAACTAAAAATTACTTTCAATTTATAAAAAATAATTGTAATTCGAAGGCATATACAAAATATTGATTGACAGTTAATAATATTTTCATTTATTAAAATGATAATAATATATTTGTCATATCTTGTCAATAATTATTATGCCAATACAAAAAAAATAATTCTTATTTCTATAATCAATAAAACAACATTTCTATCACACTACCTACTTGAGAATAATATAATCTATGAAAATAACATAACATTTTTTACCAACATTCATTTTTATAAGAACATTATTTACACAATTTAAAATTACAATATTATAAATCTAAAATGTATCTATTATTACAATGTTTATTATAAAATAATTCTATAACAATTAATAATTAAAAAAAAATTATAAAATTTAACTTTTTTAAACATGACTTAAAATTTTTAATTTTTCAATCTTAGCTAATTTAGATATTGTTGCATATGGTTGAGTTTTTTTTAAATATTTTACAAATTAAAAGTAATTTTATGATATATAATTTATGATTAACACAATTGATATTAATATTAATCCATGTATTTATAATATCACAATTTTGTATTCTTTGCGTTAAATTTTGCCTAATTTTTTTTCTATGCTGGAGATTATCAAATTTTTTTTCAAAAATATTTAATATTCTATCAATTATATTATTGAAATCTTTTGTCGGAGCCTTAAGTCCAGTGTCCAAAGATGAATAGTTCTTGTTCAATATTAATAGTTGATTTTTTTCATCTAATAATTTTTCAGTTACTAATTGACATTCACAATATTTACAATTAATTTTTTTTATACATTTAAATGCTAAATAGCCAGCAAAATATGTAACGGAACAATCTTCTAAACTCACCGTCGATTCTGAATATTCTTCATTTGAATAATTTGTACTGGATGTTGAATTTACAGAAATGGAAAGCGATTCTTCAGTATCTGAAGAATTTTCATTTATTTTCGACTGGTCTATACTTAACAAAATCGAATCGTGGTTATTCGGTTCTTCTTCGCCATCATCAATATCTTCGCAGTTCGCTCCTTTAGAAGTACACAATGAAAAAATGCAAGTGCTTCTAATAGATGTTCTTATTGTTCTTGCAGTTGGGTTTTTTTGTAACCACCTTTTTGTCTTATTACACTAAATAAATTTTCCAATGCATCTTGATTCAATCTATTAGTTAAAATAAAAGTTACTCCACTATCCGATTTTTCTTCTTCAAAAAAATATAAAATTCCATTAATTGTCTGTGTAAGACCCTTAAAACATGGAGGTGTTGTTGTCTTTCCGTTTTTTATTTTTTGAACATTTTGAAAATATGTCGATGCTTCAGTTAAAAATGGTTTTACTACACCCGAGTCAGATAATGCACATTTGTATGGATTTTTACTAAATAATGCTCTACTATTTAAATTTTAAACAGTCAAATAATTTATTGACAAATTCTATACAGTCTGCCGTGTGGTTTGCTGTTTTACTAAGTAATTGTTTTGTTCCAATGCATGTGCGTATAGTAGATGCCATTGTGTGACTCAGAAATTGAACAGCTAATTTTACTCGCATTTTTTGAAATGAGCTTGGATTGATATGAGCATTCGTTATTTTTAAAAGAGCTCTACTTTTTGTATTTTTTTTTATCTATTTGATACGTTTCCGCTATATCACGGAATGAAATTATATCATCGCCCTTTTTAAAACAAGAACCAATTAAGTTGTTTCGAATACTTTTAAATAGGTGTGGAACATCAAAAATTGAAAATATTTTATTTCCTTCGACGAAAAAAAATGGTTTATTTTCATTAATACCTAATGATTTTAATGCACTTTGATTATTTGCGGTGAACCACGATTGCGCCCAGCTTACCTTTTTCCATTCAAAAAACGCAATACGATTGCGCTCGACCAATTAGCACTATCGCGCCAGTCTATAACCTTTTTTACCTGCATAAAACGCAACACGATTGCGCTCTAATATATATATATATATGTGTTTGTCCCGTATATGTATATGTTATATAACAATTTTCTAGTACACTATTCAAAAATACAGTCGGACTTGGTTTTCCTTGGACTTGATTCCCCCATATGTACAACCGAGTAATCGAGATAATGTTTTATTGTTAATATTTATCTTATTATCCATGGACTGCAGATATCAGTATGATGTCAATGATAGTGTCATGATCGGATTTTACATTTGAGCTGCAATTGATTGTTGGCTGTTGACTGTTAACTATTTTAAACCGTGTTTAACTCACTAGCTGTTCCGTAAAGTGTATCGTCGTGAAAATCATAATAGTGTAAAAAATGGATCTATGTATATCAAAAAAGTTCGAGACTGAGAAAGGTAAACCATGCATATTAGTAAATGGTCATAAATATAGGGAATATAAAATACTATTAAAAGCGTAGGCAGTATTCGGTATCGGTGTACTAACAAAAATTGCCAATCGAGTATATATGTTGACAATAATGTTACGAAAGTTCTTAGCATGCTTAATGAACACAATCATGAAAATATTTCGGAAAATATCGTTAGTAGACAAATAATAAATTCACGAATTAAAAGAAAATGTGAAAACAACTTATTCACAAGGCCGAACAAAATAATTCGACAAGAACTACGTAGCACTGAAAATGATTTACAAACCGTCCATTCTGATATCAAATTATGGAGAAAAAGTATGTACGATTTCCGTAAAAAAAAATTACCAACAATTCCAAAATCACTGGAAGAATCAAAATTTCAATTGTTTAACTTGCGCGATACTCTTAAAACTAATTTAGATGAATATTTTTGCTACATGGAATAAATTTCAAATACCTATAGTTGTATTGACTTGCCCAACTAATCTGGATATATTAAGTCGTTCAAATCATATTTTTGGTGATGGTACATTTTTACATTCGCCAAAATACTATGATCAACTGTAGTACTGTACACAATTCATACGCTACAAAACGGTTTTTATATTCCTTTAATATACTGTTTTTTGACGTCAAAATCAACTGAATATTATGTAGATATGTGGCGCACATAATTGTAATTTATACATTTGTATTATTTTTATTCTTATTATTATTATGATTAAAAAATATTTAATTAGACATTTTTAATTAAAAAGAAATATCTATGCTAGAGCTTATTAGAGTATTATTATTAAAAAAAAAAATTGTAACTCAAAATTTTTAACCAAGCCAACAATTTAATTTTGTTGTCAGTTCTAAGCCTGTAAAATTGGGAAGGAAAATTATTAAGAGCGCAATCGTTTTGCGTTTTATGCAGGTAAAAAAGGTTAAAGACGGGCCCAATATTGCTAATTGGTCGAGCGCAATCGTATTGCGTTTTTTGAATGGAAATAGGTAAGCCGGGCGCAATCGTGTTACACCCGATTATTTGTGCCTTGATCACAGACCAACATTTTTGGACATAAACCTATTTTTAATAATTTTGCTATTACATCAACTATTAAATTCTTTAGCAATTTATGATTTACCCTTGAGTGCGCTAAAAAATATGCTACTGGAAATTTCCATGAGGTATATATTCCTCGAGCCATGAATACCATTACCGAATTAGCGGTTTTTTTTTATCGACCGTAATGTCCAAAATCTTCGAAACCTTCGATAAAATCGTAGTCTTTTGAATGCTCCAAAAATTCTTTTATGTATATTTCATCAAAACTAATACCTACTACATATTTTATCGATGTTTGATTTATTTTCAAATTTTTTTTGAATGTGACTAAAAAATTATGTACTAAATCCAGGTAAAAATTTTGACTCGCCTATCCAACGAATTGTAGATGGACTAGGTAAATTAATATTTTGAAGTCTCTAAAATTTGTAGGCTGCAGGCGATTTATAAAATAAAGTTTTTTTTATTATTATTGGACATTTTAGTATTATTATAAATTGTAAAAATGTATAAATCAAATTTCTAAAAATATGGTTTTTGAATGTTCTAAAAAAAACTATCATTCATAAATATTAAATACCTAAATTATTGATAAAACGGTGAAAGACTAAATATATTACATAAAAACAAATTTATTAGAATAACAAAAATCGCTTACCAGATGAAGTAGATGGCCGCGCCTGTTCAGAATTATGTTTATAAGGAATTGCCGTTGGTTTCAAAATTTTATTTGAATTATTCATGAATCAATCTGGAGAAAAATGCTCTTGACATATATATCTATTATATAGCTGTGTCTTGTCCAAAGACAATAAATTTACATTTCCTATAAAATATTATTATGATATAATTAAAATATTAATACTTTAACAATAAATATATATACTACATGACAAATGTATATAATATATGACATTTATTTCTCACCTGAATTAATTATCCATGTTTGATGTCTTTCATCTTTTGGAATTCGGAATATTGATAAATTAGGAAATCTTGTTGTTGTTTTGAAACAATTAAAATATTGAAATTTATTTTCTGGCATTTTGTATGTAATAGAATTTAAAAGTGCCAAAGTAAAATAATTTAATCGTAGGTACACTATTCAATATACATTATTCACTTACTTTAAACCACTCATTAATTACCTACTGTATTACACTGTACGTAAATTAATTTTTATAAAATTGTATAAATATTTTTAAGATTATAAATTTATAACACATTAAAACGCTATTGCAATAATTTTATACACTTGAAGTTCCGTATCCGTACACGTATGTATCCACTTTGCCGAATCCCATATCGCCGACAAATATACCAGTTTTAAAATATTCCCTTTTCGCTGATATTCTGGTTTGCCGTCGTCTCAGTTCACCGACAAATTATTAATAAAGTTTCAATTTTTCCAATTTGCCAACGATCCACAATGATCTTATCGAAAACGGATAAGATGGCGATAATATTATAGTATGTTATCGATATAAGTTCAATGTTTAAATGTTTTTCCATACATAAAAATATAAAATCCGTATTCCATAAGTAGTATAGATATCAATATTATGCAATGTGTATTTTTGACAGTAAAATGTTATTATAGGTATGATCCATTTACTCATTTATAAGCAGCTAATTACATATAACATTAATTTAAAAAAAAGCGGGTAATTGTATATCGCTCTGCTGTACAGTAGTTTATAAGTGAGTTATTGTAGTGGATGGAATTAAATTTGAATCCAATGATATATCATTGTATACAAAAACGATTCTGAGCGGAGACGGTTTATTAACATTCAATGAAAATTTCAAGTCTACGGTCATTTGTTTTAGAGATACACCAAAATAAGAAAATTGATAAATGAGAAATTTAGTGATATCCAATGTTGTAAAAATTTAAATTTCAGTCATAAAAATTTAATTTGACTTTCTGGTAGACATTTTTTTTTTTTTTTTGATAAAGGTAGACAAACTTATAGAAGGAATCTTATATTATATTTTCAAATCTTAGATTTAAAAAAAAAAATTTTATGAATTTCTAGCTTAAAATAATTAGCGAATTTTCGTGATTTTACGTATTTTGTCAAAACTCAAACCTTGAATGCTCATAAAAAAAAAAAACAGAAAAGAAAGTGTTTAAAGAAAAAATGTTGTCTCTTGCGTCCTATAAAAAATATTGCTTATTTGGTCACACTGCTTGACGGCGGACCACTACTCTCTCCTTAACCATGTAAGATAAAGCTAACCCCCCGTGGCAAAAATTGCAAGCCCTCTTTGACAAGCCTTTCCTATCTATGGCGGGGCCTAACACCGCGTGACAGCAGCCGCCGACAGCGCTCTGCAGTGGTCGCCAGCAGTTAACTGTTACCGGTTTTTTCTACAGTATGGCTTATCTGTATATTATAAAATCAATGCTATAGCTCTTGATACACACTTAACAGTTCTACATACAGTCGATTTATGGAAATGAATATGATCCCTAATTACTGCTTATAAATTAAATAAATATAATATTATCTAAATACAAAATAAAAATAAATTGTTTACATCTGACTTGAAAAGCGCCTGTTGCATAAAATCTGAGGGTGATTAATAATTATAAATGTGGAGATAAAGCATAACTGCGTGAGGTTTTATGTAAAATCTGGTCCCGAATCAAAAATAAAACCTCTGAAAATGAATCTTTTGAGAGCCTGTATCATAAAGTAATAAATACCTATATTATATGCATATTGACGTATAGTTAAAGTTAAATAGAACTTAAGCCACATTCCAAAATACAGAACATAAATTTAAAACAAGATGGATTTTCATAAATAGACAAATACCTAGTTCATAGTTTTCATTGTTCTGAGATTTTTCTAGGATCATTCTATCATTTACCTGAATCGACGTACAAGATCAGCATCATCATAGGGTAGTTTATACTGTTATTGGCACGGGTACAGTTATTGGCATCCTAAAACTGTTAATTCAATAAATAGTAATGTGTATGACCTATAAAATTTATTTTTTTATACATAATTGGCGACACTGGTCTAGTTTCGCTCCAAATTGTTATCTTTATTATTCGATTGCGTTTTGTTTATATTTTATCAAACGGAAAACGGACGTCTCGGCTCGTCTTCAAAACAGGTAATATTCTTATACATTTTGTACTTTATATGTCTACGGTGATAGTGTTTTATTATTATAAAATTGTATTTTAAAGCGTACGTTAGGTGTTTTCGTATATTTAAGAACATGTTTAAATCATAAATGATAGTTTCAAGATGATTTATTTGATAAATATTCGTATTAAATCTGGTGATAATAACTAAAATCAATATTTGATGATTTTAGTTATTGGCATGCCATGCCAATAATTGATTATAGTTGAATAATTCATAATTGTTTTACTGGCATACCATGTATTGTTGACAAAAAATTAATTTAAGTAGGTACCTATGCAAATTTAAATTCATGTTATTTCAATACTCAATAAAATTATTAAAATTATATAAAGTATATTTTGTCATATTTTAGTCATGCCGGAAAAAAGGGAAAATTTTTGTCACTTAAATATAACTGTTGCAGTTAATGCAGTTATAAATTACGGTTTAAGTAAAAAAGCAGCTGCAAAAAAATTTGGTGGATCAAGATCTACTCTACAGTTTAGGCTTAAAAATCTAAATGGAAAAACATCTTGTGGACCGGCAACTGTATTGTCAGACAAAGAGGAAGAATTGTTACAAACATGGATAATTGAAAGCTGTAAAAAAGGTTTTCCAAGAAGAAAAGAAGATTTGCAAATGAGTGTGAAGCAATTTTTGGATATAAACAACAGACAAACTGCTTTTAAAAATAATATGCCAGGTATTGATTTTGTAATTTTTTAGGGTTTGTGTGTAAAAATGTAGGTAGGTTATTATAAGGTATACATTTTTTTTTGTAGGTAATGGTTGGTATAGGGCATTCATGCAAAGACATCCATTAATATCGGTCCGAACAAGTGAACATGTCACAACTGCCAGTGCATGTGTCAGTGAAAAAGACATAAAAAAATGGTTCTCTGACATCCATCAATATCTAGTAGATGAAAAACTTGATGACATATTGCAAGATCCCACTAGATTATTCAACGGTGATGAAACTGGATTCTCGCTATGTCCCAAAACCAAATCAGTGTTAGCTCCAAAAGGAACCAAAGATATTTATGAGGTAGCAGTAGGTAATGCTAAAGAAAATCTCACAGTTATGTTCACATTTAATGCTGCTGGTGACATGTGCCATCCGATGGTAATTTACAACTATCAGAGAATCCCACAAGATATTGTAAATTCTGTTCCTCCCAATTGGGGAATAGGTCATTCCGAATCAGGTTGGATGAAATCTGAGGTTTTTTATGAATGCATTGCGAATATATTTTATCCTTTTGTAGTTGAAAAGGGAATAAAATTTCCTATAATTTTATTTGTTGATGGTCATAAAAGCCATCTAACCTATCAATTAAGCGAGTTATGTTCAAGTTTAAATATTATATTAATTGCGTTATATCCAAACTCCACAAGAATTTTACAGCCAGCTGATGTGGCTGCATTTCGGCCACTTAAATCTGGTTGGAAAAAAGGAGTGTTTGAGTGGAGAAAAGACAATAATTTAAGTACAGCTGTAACTAAAAAAGATTTTGCCCCTATATTAAAAAAGGTAATTGATGAAACTGTTAAAGCAGAAACTTTAATTAATGGTTTTAAAGCTTGTGGATTGTACCCTTGGAATCCTGATTCTATTGGTTTAAAAAAGTGTCTTGGTACTAATACAAAAAAAACTGAATTAGTCAATAAAATTAATAATACCCAATATCAATGTCCTCTTACTCTTGAACAATTTTGCAATACTGTAAGTCCTGAATGTATTAAAAAGTTTGAAAATTTTAATGATATTGTTAAATCTAATGTTATAAGTGAAGAATTTCATGCATTATATAAATTGTATCAATTACTTAAATCTAATTATAAAAATTTGTTAAGTAGTGGTGTGAAGTGTATTTCAGAGGCTGGTGAGCAGAATTTATTAGATTTGATAGAAGACCAAAATGAAGTAACTATAATTGATGACAGTTTTTTCGATAGTAGTAAAGAAGGTTTTCAAGATGCAATAGAGCAAGATAAAATGGATGTGTGTGTAGAAGCCAATAAAGAGAAAACGGGTTTTATTTGTAATGAAATAGAAAATACAAGAAAACAGGATGAAATTGAAATTTGTATAGAGGAGAATGTAGTTACACCCAGACATATAAATGGAAAAACTTTTCAAATTTCTCCATTAGAATCATGTCTTGTGTGGTTACATCAGTTACTCCAGAAAGTAAAGGTAAACGTAATATTGAAAGAGTACCATATGTTGTATCATCTAAAATGTGGAAAAGTATGAACCAGTCTAAAGAAGATAAAAAGAAACAAATTGAGCTTGAAAAAGAAAATAGGAAAAAATACAGATTAAGTAATAGGTTGGTTAAATTGAATTCGGTCAATGATAAAAAATTAAAAACTGTTACTAAATCAAAGGTTGTGAGAAATATATTTCAAAAAGATATTGTGTATAAGAAAAAACCATCTGAAACTGTAACTAGTGGTGTGTTGGCTGAAAGTTTATGTGTTGATATAGCACCTAATATTGTTGAAGAAATAGATAATGATATTCTAACCACATATGTAACCGTAGGACTTTGTTTTAGTTGTGGTAGAAATTTAAGTGAGTTTTTGAAAGGTGTTGATTGTGCCTTTTGTTCACATATGTATCATTTGAAGTGTTTAACCACAGATGAATTCTGTGGCATCGGTGAAAATGAACCTATTTTATTCATTTGTAAAATATGCCAAAAAGATTTAAATTAAAGTTAGGTACATATAATACCTATTTTGATCTTAAATTTGTATGTATTAACTAAGAGGTTATAAAGGTCTTTTTATAAAAAGGGAAAATATTAAGTTTATTAATTTTGTTTAAATACTGATTGTTTTTATTTTATTTTATTTATTAATTTCTATACCTACATTATTATTTGTTATGGTTACATCTAAAGGTGAATTTATTGATGTTGATCAAATTCCTAATTTTTTATAAAAAGGTAAAATATTAAGTTTATTAACTGTAATTAAAATTATTTTAAAGATTGATTGTTTTTATTTTATTGTTTTTTTTAGTTATGTTATTAATTTCTATACCTTTTCATTATTATTTGTTATAATTATAACTAAAGGTAAATTTATTGATGTTGATCAAATTTCTAACTTTTTATAAAATTGTAAAATATTAAGTTTATAAATTGTGATAAAAATTCATTTAAAGACTGATTGTTTTGTTTTTTTTTTATTTATTATTAATTCCTATAGGTACCTACATTATTACTTATGGTTTTAGGAAAGTATTGACCAAAAGGAAAATGGGTTTTTTCTTAAGTTTTGTGTAATATTTAAATGTATTATACAATTGTCCTAATAAAATATTAATTTAAAGTAGGTACCTATTTGATTTGAAATTGTGTTTACATTAATAATTTATTATAGAACCAATTGAAAATTGAAAAAAATAATATATATCTTTTAAAATTTTTATATATTCTGTTCTTTTATTAGTTGTATTTTACCTAGTTGAAATAAATTTATTTTATAGGTAGGTGTAAGTACATATTTTCGATTTTTTAACCAATACTATTGTAGGTGCCAATAACTATGTACTCGAGTGCCGATAACAGAAACTACATGCCAATAACTGTAGTTTTAGTAAAAATTGATAAAATGCCTATTTTAAATGAAAATGACAATATTTATATCAATTTTACCCCTTAAGTAAGTGAAAGATAAGAATATTTGGAATAGAAACATTTATTTTTAGTTATTGTATCATAATTATTTTATGTTCCACGATTCATTGAAAATGAGTATCTGCTTAAAGTGCCAATAACTGTATACTCTACACTACTCAACTGAAGGGTCATATCTATTTCGATATACACGCTCTTTCGGTAGTATTCCAATAACAATCATCGCAAATTCATCATCATCTGATGACAAAAAGGTAATTTCATTTCTATCTATAATGTGAATATGTCATTTAACATTTAACTTATGTAGGTACATATTTCCTGATTAATTTGTGAATATGAAAATTGGAATTTTATTCGAAAATCATAAAAAAAACAAATATGTCATGTTGGTATTAATCGTACAACGGAAAATATTAAAAGAACATATTGGTTCCCAACATGTCTGAGCTAATTAAACAACATATTGAAAACTGCCGTAAATGTATTATATTTACTTAAAAAACTGGGAAATCAGAAGGGTTACTTAAATTAGTGGATAAGAACGATACCACCTTTCATACTATACATATTATGGTCCCCTAAATCCGACAGTGGGTAATTATCGTCACATTTTTATTGTAGTTGATGCGTTTAGAAAATTCCTTAAACTGTAAAGAGTTCGCTCTGTTAAGACAACAGAGACATGCACGAAACTTCTTGAATACTTCTCTTACTATAGTAAACCAATAAGAATTATTTCAGATAGAGGTACAAGTTTTACCTCTGATATATTTAAAAACTTTTGTAAGGAACATAATATTCAACATGAACTTATTGCTGTGGTTCCCCTCAAGCCAATGGACAGGTGGAACGCTATAATATAGGACAATAAAAGTAATCATTTCAAAAATCATGCATGAGGAAGGGAAAAATTGGAATGAGTCTTTAAATAAAGTGCAATTTGCTTGTAATAATACATACAACCGGTCTATAAAAAATACACCTAGCATGCTACTATTTGGGTTACATCAACATGGTGGGACAAATGATTACCTAAGAAAGGTTCTGGATGCTGAACATTGTGTAGATAAGCGTGACTTAGTAAATACACGTCAGAATGCTAAAGAAAACATTAGGAATGTCCAAATGATTAAAAAAATTAATGTAGCGGTGTGTAGCTAGAACATATAAAGTGGGAGACTATATCATGGTTAAAAATGTTGACACTACACCCGGAGTGAGTAAAAATCATATCCCTAAATTTAAAGGCCAATACGAAGTAAAGGTAGTATTGCCTAATGATAGATATGTCATCAAGGATATTCCAGGTTTCCAAGTTACTCAACTTCCTTTTGAATCAGTATTTGAGTGTAAACATATTAAACCTTGGATTCAACAAGTAAATTGATACTTTTCTTCTTTGCGTGCATTTTATTGTGTTAAATGCTATACTAAGTAATTGTTAGCTATTTAGTTCTATTAAACACATTCTAATTGATAATATTGCGATCTTGTATTATTTTTTTTTATTGTAGTTATATTATAATTATTTTTATTTTACTTTATTTTAATATTTGTTATTATGTACTAAGTACAAGTAAACATTTTTTTAATATATATTGATTATTACAAGTTATACTATATTATACTTTATTGAGTGGAGACCACTCAAGGTCAGATATGGCTGAGCTGTAGTAATATTATGTTAGCTTGCCAGCCTACATCCCCACTAATTATTATTATTATTTTTGTTATGTCAGTACTCAGTAGTTACAGTTGAAGGTCGACCGATGAAGGTGATCGGCGTCGTTGTGGATTGTTATTTTGTAAATTGAAATAATATTGTATTTTAGTGAAATAAATAAAAATTGTGTTTGTACTTTGTAATATTGTTTTTCCTGACAACATTGTAGGTATAGCGGCCGTACAACCGCCGGTACGTCGCTACAACTCTGTAAAGTGTTTTTATTTTTAAGTATTTAATCATGTTCTTAGATTGTTCTTTGATATTTGTGTATAATTTTAATTTTATTTTTCTTATAATTTATGTACGATTACTTGTTAATGCTCTGCTCTACCACAAGCCAAGGCTTACAGTAGAAGATAAAAAAAAAATCATTACTAGTGCAATGTATTGCGGATTCTCATTTAAAGAATATGAATGATGGTAGAACACCAAAATTATATGGACCACTAGTGTTTAAATTTTGAACCAAAATGTACATAAAGTAAATTTTATATTAAAAAGAATGCTCACTTTAAAGTTTAATGAAAATTACGAATCTATGGAATCGTTTCTAGTTCGTTTTGATGATTTACCGAGACAGACAAAATTGGCTGGATGCGAACTTGGTGATGATATTATAGCATGTTTGTTACTCATATCGTTACCAGTTTCTTATATAATGTAGTTGTCACAGCAATTGAAACACTATCAGATGATAAAATGACCATTGATTTTGTTTGAAGAAAATTGTTAGATGAGGTAGCTAAGAAGGAGTTATTTGAAGAGGAAACACGGACATCAAATTATTTAGTTTCAGAAAGGATAAGTTGTATAAGTGGTACTGCTTTTAGAGTTGGTTACAACTTATTTAAGGGTTTTTATTGCAAGAAAATAGAGCATAAGCAGCCAGGCGCGTAGCTAGAAATTTCAAAGGGGGGGTGTTATTCAAACTTAAGAGGACGCTAAGACGCGTGTGTTGTCTCTGTCTTACACACGCACGACATAACAAATTGTCGTTCACTATTTTCAATAGTGAGCTGTTAGTTTTGATACTAGAGTGAATCGACATATTATCAAACTTTTAGGTAAGAACATTATCTGGGTCTTAGCTTGGGCGATTTTTCGATACTTTCACTTTTGAGAAAAATAAGTGTATGGAAATATTAAAAATGCTCATATCTCGCTTGAAAATTATTTATTATACAAACGTATTACAACTTACCCGTGAATAGATAATAGTTTAGAATAATAGTTCTCTTATATAATATTATTATCAATAAAAAAAAAATGAATACATTTTTAAATTAACTTAATGTGTCGACTTTTTGAGGCTAGTGTATCTATTATTTCGTCTGTGGTTACGACTAAATCTCGATGAATATTTATAACAGCTAAGCCATTCGAGCGATTTTCACCAGTTGTATTTCTTAGATATGTTTTCAAGCGTCTTAATGAGAAAAAAGACGTTTCACTGCTTGCAGTTGTTACAGGTAAAGTAATCAATACTTGTAAAAGTCGATAAACAGTAGGAAATATGTCTTCGTTGCTGTCAAAGAAGGCTTCGGTAACATTTTTAGGATTTTTAGGATTTTTATTTTTTATATGTTCATACCATATTGCAAACTCACCAATTGCAGATATTTCATCAGCTTCAATATCTGAAGAATATATCTTAAGAAGTTCTTTAAATTCGGTATCATTTTTTCATTTGCATTTATTAAACAAGTAAATTGTTTTAATAGTGATTTATGGTTCAAAAATCTGTCATTTAGTTGCTCACAGAAATGATCCAAAAAAGGTACAAAAATCAAAATCCTAAAATAGACTTCCGGTGATTCTGTTGAAATTCTAAAACGATTTGTTCGGTTTATAGCTAGTCAAGGTATTGAAATTGTAATCCCCAATGATAGTTGATACCATAGGGCATAGAGTAACACTCTAATGATGAAGTTGTAAACAAGTTGTAAATACTCTGCATTAAAAGATATCTTGAATCGTACATGAAACGAGTCAACGATAAACTGACACAGAATGGTCTAAAATAATAATTATCTAATTCCTTGTGCCCGTGTCCAGGTTTAAATTATAAAACATAGTACACCACGGTTGAGGGGGGGGAGTGTTACTACACCTGTAACACCCCCCCTGGCTACGCGCCTGTAAGCAGCAACAGTCCAGAAAATACAAAGCAGATACAAGATACATGATAATTTTATATTTCCAATCGAATTTTATGAACTGTTAAACTTAAAACGTCTATACACAATTCACTATACTGTCTATACATAATAATAGTATTTATAAAGTCATAATTATATTAAATAATAGAATAAGTCAATAAGTACACATCAGGCGGCTCTCACACCGGAGCAATAGACAACGAGCAACTAACAATCGGCAATAAGCAATAATATTGCCATTTGATAAATCACGTAGAAATTAATGAATTTTCTCACACCGAAGCAACACGATTTTTCTTGTTGCGAACTTGTAGCAACACGCATTGCCAGCTACGTCGTGTTGCCGGTCGATGTTTATTGACAGCAATTTCGTAGTATGTTTTTATATTATTAATTTTATTAATTTTCCTTTATTTTATTTATTTATTTTATTCCTTTGTTCTTATACAGTTTTTTTCAATATTAATAAACACAATGAATAAATATTAATAAATTCAATACATATTATCATCACTCGGAATGATTACAGTAGAAGAAACGTGACTGAAAATTCGTGGAATTCAATTGAAAAAGAATTTAAATTATCAGGTATGTATATTTTATTTTAAAGAATTAATCAATTTGTACATCTATAGAAAATATATTAAAATACTATAAAGTGTAATTTTCTTGCTAAGGCAATGCATTATCTGGTTTCAAAAAATATTTTTTCAAATAATCTCTTACTTCTTGTGCAGATTTATTATTACAATGATTATTGTTTTATTGTGACGCCTTTTGATTTGTACATTGATTTTCCTGATTTTTACTGATTTGGGGAACTAGAAAATGACCCTCGATCATTTTAATGAAATTGTGTAGAATACATGCTGCTTTTATAACTTTGGTTGCAGTGTCTTCATGACACATTATTGGTCTCTGAAATATTTCAAATTTTGATGCTAACATTCCAAATGCGCATTCGAAGCTTTTTCGTCCACGTGACATTCTATAGTTGAATATTCGTTATTCATTATCGAGAACTCGCTTAGGATACGGCCGCATGAGATTTACTTTGAGAGGAAATGCTTCATCTCCTACCATGTAGAAAGGAAAATCAAAAGCATCATTAGGCATTGGTGTTGGTTTTGGGATATGAAGTTTATCAGTATCTTACAGTTTCCCAAGGTTAGAAGCTCTAAAAACTGCACCATCACTAAACCTGCCTGCTTCTCCATCATTTTACGGTTTTAAAAATACCATCGGCGTTCACGCATGCCATGGGCACCACGGAAAAAAAAACTTTTATAATTGTGATGTAGTGAACCTGTGTTGTCAATTTTTTTAATACGACAATGCTTGTCATCTACGGAACCAATACAATTGGGGAGATCCCATAATTCGAAGTTTCGTTTTGCTATCGATTTCCATGTTTCTTCATTTGGAACACGCATGTATGTAGGTTGAAGAAGTCACCAGATAGCTTCACCTCTTTCACTATTATTCCAATTGTATTGTTTCCTCTCATGAATATATGTGATAAAGCAATATAACTGCATCCTGTAGCCAAATATCTGAAACAAGTATATCAATATTTTTTTATTCGATAAAAACAAGATTTTTTTTATATTTTAAGGTTATTTCTAAGTCTGTATTGTATTTAAACGAATCATTATATTTTAACAGAAGCACAATGCAAGGAGAAATGGAAAAATCTACGAACTGCTTTTGCAGTGAAAAAACCACCGTCAGGAAGTCTGCCAATAATAAAAGACATAAAGACTATTATTTAAAAGATGTCATGCAGTTTATTCTTCCGTTCATGAAGGTTAAGACTCAAAGTAGCAATTTAACAATAAAAGATACTGAAGATAAGGACGAGCAAAATAGTGACATTGATATTAATGTAGACGATAGCGATGTATCTTTACAAGATGAAATCCCATCTACACCAAAAGCAGTGGTCGGGAGTAGCGCGCTAATTGTAGCGACGCTACAGTAGCACGCTACTTTAGCTGTAGCGATTAACATAGCGTCGCTACAGTATATACAATGTAGAGAAATACTATAGCGCGCTATACTCCGGCCCACGACTCACGAGAGAGTATTACCGTTTTGCGCATGCAGACTGACGGCGGAGACCGTTCCGAGGCCCCATTTCCCCCACTATTTCCGCGACCGCTATACACCGTATAGCGTTGAGCGCTGCCGACCGGTACCGAACAGTTGTCGGCACATGCCGAGTAGTGGGGAATGTGCGGAATCGGACGAGTTTTCGTCGGGCGACGGTAATACTCTCTCGTGGGCCGGAGTATAGAAATTTACGGTTAGCGTAGCGAAAATGTTCATTATTTTATCGCTACTTCTAACCTATTTCATGATAATTAAAATATGATGTATATTTATTTAATTAAGATGACAAGATGAGTGCATTTTTGATTTTTTCGGACCCGGACCCGGACCGGACTAAGATAAGACCGGATAGATAAGACTATAATCATAAGTGCATTATTACAATGTAATCTGTATATATAAAAAAACTTGTCCTGGGTGATTCATCATCGCCTAGCCGGAACTGCTGGGTCTAGAGACTTGAAATTTTGTACAGAGGTTCCTTAAGCAATATAAGGGCGCACTAAGAAAGGATTTTTGAAAATTCGACCTACAAGGGGGTAAAAGTGGGGTTGAAAGAATATGATAGTGGCGCCATCTATCAAGCAATATTTAATTTAAATATACAATATTGGTATTAAAATGAGTAAATTAAAAATAAAAATAATTTATATTGATATGATAATAACAATTTAGACATCTCTATGGCAATTAATACATCAGCTCGATGTACTGGCTAATACAGTATAATCTATGGTTCAACCCGAGAATGTGAATTCAATTATTAATGAAGTATACAATAAATGCTTAGTTACTCTTGAAGATACTGTTCTATCTCTGGGAGGTACATCTTTGCAACATTATGGTTTACCTCAGCCATCATGATGTGAAGCAGTCTTACAAAATAAAGATTACCTTCGAGAAATCAATTATGATTCAAATATTTTGGCACAGTATATAAATTTTAATGAACATTTACTAAATAATGAACAGTCCTATGTATATAACAAAATATTAGAGGGCATTGAAAAGAACACTGGCCAAACATTTTTCTTAGACGCACCTGGAGGCACTGGTAAAACATTTGTCATAAATATTTTATTGGCCAGAGTACGAAAAGATCATGGAATAGCTTTGGCTGTAGCTTCTTCAGGCATCGCTGCTACATTGCTAGAAGGAGGTAAAACAGCTCATTCTGTATTTAAATTACCATTAAACCTAACGAGAGTAGAGACACCTATGTGCAATATTTCCAAACAGAGTAATATAGCACAAGTTCTAAAAGACTGTAAGTTAATAGTTTGGGATGAATGTACAATGGCCCACAAGGGTGGCTTTGAGGCCCTCAATAGAACATTAAAAGATATAAGGGGATATAATAATTTGATGGGTGGAGTCACTGTGCTGCTACCAGGAGATTTTCGGCAAACATTACCCGTTATACCTAGGGGTACAAGGGCTGATGAAGTAAAGTCATGTCTAAAAGCTTCGTATTTGTGGCCACATATCCAGAAAGTTGCACTTCATAAAAATATGAGGGTTCATGTGAAAGGTGACACATCTGCTGGGATTTTCGCTGAGATGTTACTTAAAATAGGAGACGGAAATTTCCCTTCATTGGAAGGTGAGATCACTATTCCCTCAAATTTGTGTACAGTTGTTAGCTCTTTATCAGAACTAACTTCCAGAATTTACCCAGATATAATAAATATCAAGATGAAACCCATCGAATGGTTGTGCGAGCGAGCCATCTTAACTCCAAAGAACGACAAGGCAGCCGAAATCAATGAAATTCTACTAAAGGCATTTAATGAAAAATCTGTTGAATATAAATCTTTTGATTCGGTGATCCAATCGGATGATGCTGTCCATTACCCTTTAGAATTTCTTAATACTCTGAATCCTTCTGGTCTTCCATCACATAAACTTATCCTTAAAATTGGAGCACCTATAATGTTACTAAGAAATCTTAACCCACCTAAATTGTGTAATGGAACTAGATTGCAAGTTAAATCTCTGCACAAAAATGTAATAGAAGCTATAGTTATCACTGGGTGTGCTAGAGGAGATATAGTTTTAATCCCGAGAATAACGTTAATCCCAACTGATTATCCCTTTGAGTTTAAAAGAATACAATTCCCACTCAAAGTTTGCTTTGCTATGACTATTAATAAGTCTCAAGGACAATCATTGGGCATGGCAGGGATTGACTTAAGAGAAGAATGTTTTTCACATGGACAGTTCTATGTCGCATGTTCTAGAGTTAGCTCTGCCAGTAGTTTGGTTATTTTAGCACCAAAAGGCAGTACCAAAAATACTGTTTATAAAGAGGTATTGAGATGAACAAAATATGTCAATATAAATATTGGTGGATTTTTATAAAACCATAATGTTTTTGGGTATATTTTATTTCAACATTTCGTCGATTAGAATTGTATCTTACAATTTGTTTTCAAAATATTAAAATAAAGTAATTTTTTGCTGACTTCTGATTGTAACAATACATGGGCAACCTAGGATAAACTTATCTAAAAGCAGCCTGTAATAAATATAAAAACTGATAAAATAAAAGTTATAGTAGGTTACACAAAAAAACTGTACACGGGCGAAGCCGGGTTATTCAGCTAGTATTTTATATTATTGAAAATGTCTGTGTTTCTTTTAAGTTTTAAATATTTTGTCATTTTGAATAGTTTAATTAAAAATGACAGAACCTGAAGCCACCACACCCATAACTCAATGTATCGAATTACCGTGGCCTGCTTTCAATAAGTTTTACAAGTATAAAGGAACGGACACAAAAGGCAATTACAACACTACTTGTGTTTTATGTAGGAAGTCCATAAAATCGTCTAAAACTACGTCTTATAATTTAAAAACACACATTGAAGTAAGTAAATAATTTTAATCTTTATAATATAAAATAATTATGATATAACATCTTTATTAAATAGAAAATTTATTCCAAGTTTACCACTTGTAAATAAGTCATAAGTGTCTTGGTTCTACTCATTGTTATAACTTGGCAACTTGCATAGTTGCATCAATAGTTTTTCATACTGCCATATTTCAATATTTGTAAATTTGTAATATGTTATACATAATAAATAATAATATATTTAGGTATTTGTATATCATATTCTGATATTCATATAAGATATAACTTTATCATATTATACAACTATAAAAGTATAAAACATGTCTTATATAAATTTAAAATACAATTTTTATTTCACGTTTTTTTATAAATATGAATTATTAATACATAATCTTATATATTATACACTTATATATTAGCACAAGATGCTTAAATACTATAAATGCAAGATTAACTATTATCATTTATCAGCTTTGGAAAGAAAATGGCCGCTGTCTTTACCCGTGTTTATTTGGGCCGCGACACACTACATCGGTTTTGACGCGCGGTGAAAACGCTAGATGGAAATGCATACAATATGTAAATGGAGTGCATCAGACTAGCGCGGTTTTGACGCGCGTTGCCGCATGACACCGCTGCCTGTCAGGGTTTTGCGTTTTGAACGCGTTGACGCTTGGAACCGTAACACATTGTTTTATATTGCATGCGACATACCATAGCGGTTACGACGCGTTTCAAAATCCGTTTTTACCAGTGTTTACCTGTTTTTTATAGTTTTATTGATTGGTACTATTTGATTTTGTTTCGAGTAAATTTATTTAAATATATTATCAATATTATGATTGACATTGATATTTTAATTACCGAAGTTGAGAAGGAAGAATGTCTGTGGAACATCAACACTAGTAACTATATGGACAAACACTGTAAAACTAAGGCCTGGATAAATGTAGCCAGTGTTGTATTCAAAAATTGGGATACATTTTCAAGCAAGGAGCAAGAATCTTGGTAAGCATATAATATTAATTTTTATGTTTCTATAGTAATATTATAATTTCTATAATAATATTTATTATGTATAATTTTATGAATGGCTGACACAAATATTTTAAATTTGTATGACTATATTTAAATTTATAAAAGCAAAGTACGAACAGGCTGCTGCATGTCGACAACGTGTTGATACCGGCGTCGAACGTGTATTAACAATAGTATATTCGTCAGAATTTATTCTATTCTTATAATTTATAATAATTGATGAAATTATTAAGTTAAATACGTATGCGGCGATTATATTTCATTTCATTATATGATATTTCATGATATTTCATCTTTCATAAAAGAAAAACTATTGCTTATAACTTATTATTTCCCCGATTTTTAATAAAAAAAAATTGTACTATCAAAATCTATGACCTATATTATATTATTTATCTATATACAAAAATTCTTTTTAGTCGAAGAAATTAAAAAAAAAAATGGAAAAACATCAGGGATAATTTTGCTCGAGACAAACTAAAACAAAATAGTACACCAAGTAGTAGTGGAGCAAATCCTACAAAAAAATATGCATATGCTGATGTACTTTCATTTTTACAGCCAGTTTTGAAAAAAAGAAAGTAAGTAAAATCCATTTGAAAGAAAGATTTAATAATGGTGGTGTCAGGATATTAAATCTAATTAACAACTTTTGAGTTAATTAACAATGAATACGGTTTATTTAAGTAAAACTATAATATCCCAAAACGGCTTAGAGCTAACGGCTTAGAGCTACGGCGGTTCGGTGCGCGGGCACATACGTCGTGCCCGGCGGATACGGCGAAACAGAAAGCTGCGGTGTACTCACTGCTCGGAGACGGCCTGGAAGGGTCGTCCGACAGTGTTGCCGCGTTAGGCAAAAAGTAGCTAACACATTTTGGAAACAAAATATTTCCTTAACATTTGTATTATTATTAAAATTGCAGAACAATGGGTAATATGTATTCACCATTATCACCCATAGAAATAGAAACCACAGTTGACGCTGGTGAAATTTCCGAAGAAGATCATGTTGCAACATCAAATAGTACAAACAGGATGAATACAACGGAGCCACAAAATAAAAAGCAAAGGAATACCCCAATCACCCCGTTTCAACAAAATCTGCTGCACCTTATGCAACATCCACCTACACAAAAACGCTCAGAAGACATTGATCCAGATAATGCTTTTTGTTATTATTCCTTCCAGAATTTAAAAAAATGAATGATAACCAAAAACTTGACTTGAAAATTGCATTCATGCAGTCGGTAAAAAATATTTTGAACCCATCTATTTACAACTCGCAGACTTTAAACGCAAACATTCACCAATTAAATTATCCCAATTATATTGGCCAGCAAACTTCTCTCGCACATCCATCGCCCTATCCATATCCAAGCTATACACAACAGTATAATCTACCTATATGTCCCTATTCAAGGTACTCTGCTCCACAAAACTATAGTTCACCAACCTCACCTGCAGATTACAGCCTCAAAGATATAGGAATGAACCATAGTGTATAATATTATAATACAATAAATTATTATTATTATTTCTTTTTTTTTTTTATTACGAACAGAACAATATTATGTTGTATAATATTGTATTAATTTAAGTATTTGAAGTTACAGACATTATTTTTATTATTTTTTTTTATTTTATTGTAAAACGTTTTTGAAGTTACGTTTTATTTTATATTTTATTGATAACCATAATATTATACTTATTTTATGCAAACATATTTACTAGTAAAGTTTTATTATTACCTGATTGTAATAGTTAGTCTTTCTTCTGGACACACCGGACGTCGGAACTTGGTGGTTTTTTTCGTAATCTGGGGGCGTATTTTTTCTAATAGCTCGTCAAATGAAGAAATGGACATTCTATAGTATTCTAAAAATTTACTGGGATACTTTCGAATTTCTCCATAAAAAGAAAAAAACCGATCATTTGTTTCCCGTTCTGCAATAAACGGATGAATCCAAAACGATCTTTCTGGTCGTGGCGGGTTCAGATATCCGAATGCTTTTGCCACTGAAATTACCTTCATTGCATTCGTATAATAATCGTAATCCATACTGAATAAACAAATGAAAAATAATTTAAATCTAATTTAATATATTCAAATAGAAGTTTTTTATTTTTTAGTATGGATAAAAAATAAATAACTTATAACAAATATAATATATATTATTGTTAGTTTTTACTAGGTACTTACTTTCAATTAAACAATTATTTAGGTACTTGGTTATTCAATTCCTCGGATTGTTACAAATTATGTCAATATACCTATTCACAAAATATTAAAAAACTACAAGACAGCACAAGACCGAATCATCAACAGTTGCCAAAATAGTCAACTAGTCTGTCTGAGTGCTAAGTGAACGCGTGCAAACCGCGCTAGTGTGGCGCGGCCCTAAGAGGCTTAGTTAGGCATATTAATTAGGACTATATGAACAATGTTTAAAAAAAAAAATAAGTTTTAGGTAGATGGTACTAGTTATTCAATGTGATTTTGTGGTACTAAATAATAATAAAATATAAATAAACAATGTTCATCAATATATTAATAATATGTTTATTATTGAAAACAAATATTGTACTGAAATACACCATATTGCTTATAAAATATTTCCGTAAACGGCCTTAGCGCTTCCTGGTATACAATTGTGTAACTAAACTGCCGTAAAATGGTACTCATTTATTTATCATACATTTATCCTAAAATTATAAAAATTAAAAAAAGTAAATGGTTGGGCGATAGTTATCAATATTCAATAATCATAAATCAAATGAGTTTTTTATTAAGCCTTCTATTTGTATCAATTCTCATCTCTCTGGTAACTACCAAAATGTCCGTGGTCTAAGGACCAAATTAAATTTATTAAAATGTTCAATACCTTCATCTACTCATGATTTTATAATATTTACTGAGACATGGTTAAATCACTCTTTCTTTGACAATGCATTCGGTATTACCCAGCATAACGTATTGACGTATAGTCGTGGTGGAGAAGTTCTCGTCGCTATTAAAAAGACTTTTAATTCCAAATTGCTTAATATTGATACTTTAAACGTAGAACAAGTATTTGTCAAAGTTATAGTTGGTACTTAGCGATCTTTTAATTATTTTTTATGCTGTATACTTTCGACCTTATAGTGATTTACAGTTATACTTAAATCACCTCTCAGTCTTAGAGTCTATTGACTCTTCCTTTCCGAATTGCAAACTTATCATTTGTGGTGATTACAATATTCCCTTGATACCCTGGGAAAGTGACAAGCATAGGTTCAAATGTGTCAACTTCCTTTCTTCCCAAGTAGGAAGTTCTCTTATTGAGAGCTGCTCTTTGTTAAATCTATATCAATTTAATTCTATCATTAATGCTCATGGAAATATTCTGGATTTGGTGTTTTCTAATCTAGAGAACTCCATAAATCTTCACGATGACCCGTCTGTCCCTACTGACCCTTGCCACCCTCTAATTCAAATAAACGTTCAATTACCTATCTTGCAGCCTATTCTTAACAACGACAGAACCATTTTCAACTATGAGAAAGGCGATTATATTAATTTGAACCTATTTTTTAATTCTTTTAATTGGTTGAATACTTTTAAACACCTCAATACTGAGGCAACGGCCCTCGTATTCCAACACGCACTTTTAGAAGCTTTAGACTCTTTTGTCCCTCAAAAAATCATAAGCACCTCCCATAATTTCCCTTACTGGTTCAACAAAGAACTCAAAACTCTTGTTTGGAAGAAAAATAAAGTAGGTACATTGAATTTATGTCATAAATAAAAGTAAATCAAATTATGAAAAATTCTCCTTGTTACGAGATCAATATAAATCGCAGTCTAAAATTGTTTTTCATGATTTTATGCACCGGTCAGAAAGTGAAATTATAAATAAACCGGAATACTTTTGGAACTGGGTCAACTTTACTATATTAACAAATACTAAGTCTCGTAGTATACCCAATTCTGTATTCTTAGGTGATACTATTGCTAATAACGGTGTTGCTATTGCTAATTTATTCTCAGATTATTTCTCCACTGCATATAACACTTCACCTGATGAATCTTACATTTTCGCCTTTACTTATCAATTCGATCACATCATCCCCACTAAATGTAGTATCTCCCTGGTATACGGAAACTTATAAAATCTAGGTCTCCTGGCCATGATGGTGTTTCTGGTTACTTTTTGGCAAACTTAGCTAATTCTATAGCTCATCCCTTATTCATCTTATATAACAAATCACTTGAGGAAGGGGTATTTCCATCTATCTGGAAAAAAACTCCATCACCCCAGTTTTCAAAAAAGGCGATAAATGTAATGTCAAATATTATCGCCCTATCTCTGGTCTAGTACAAATTGGTAAATTGTTTCTAGCTCAAATGATCAAACCAATCAATAACATTTGGAACAATAGCCAGCATGGTTTTTATACCGGGAGGTCCACTTTACCTTGTAATTTATCACTCCAAAATTTCATACTCAACGCTTTTAAAGATAGTTGTCAAGCGGATGTAATTTATACGATTTTGAGAAGCCGTCGACCGTGTCAATCATGAATCATTGATTATTATATTGGGTAAATTAGGGTTTAGTCATCCAATAATATCCTGGTTTAAATCTTATCTCAAAACAGGTCCTGTTCACCCAAGTACACGGTTTCTATTCAAATACGGCCCCGGTATTTGACGCAAGGAGGTCATTATAGCCCATACTATTTAATTTATTTTTAAACGGACTATCACTTGTTCTTAAAAAATGCCAAATCCTGTTCTTTGATTTAAAAAGATTACTCGTATTTCCTCGTTGGAGGATGGGCTAGTTCTACAAGATGAATTAAATAGCTTATCTATATGGTGTCGTAACTGGGGCATGTGTCTCAATACTGATAAGTGTTACTCAATGTATTTTTACCGATCCTATAAGTACTCTATAATTTATTAATGATGTCCAACTTAGATCAGTCTCTTCAATTATAGACTTAGGAGTAACTTTAACCACTAAATTAAATTTCCGTGATAATATTGAGTGTGTCGTGAAAAAATCGTTGAAAATTCTAGGATTTATTATGCAACATTCATCGAATTTAAAGACCTTAGATCATTCAAATTCCTGTATTCTGCGTTAGTCAGATATATTCTCGTATACGGAGCTCCTATCTGGAAACCATACACCAAAACTGATATCGATTTCATTGAACGCGTTCAAAATAGGTTTTTAAAATTTGTAGCCTTTAAATTTAATTTGACCATTGATAATCATGATTATATGCAAATCAGATCTTTTCTGAACATTCCAGCCTTATCCTCCAGACGTGAAGTAGCAGATAAATCTTTTATTTATAAGTTAATTAATGGTATCACCGACGATCCTGATCTTTTAAATTGCATCCCCTTTACTATTCCAGAATACAATAACCGTTCCACATCTTTGTTTTACATATATACTTTATATTTTACTATATAGCACAAACTATTTAAACATCTCACCTATTCCTAGGGCTATATGCAATAAAGTTTGGACGAGAGTTGACTTTTTCTTCTCTTCTCTAAGGGAGATATTAAATGCTCACATGAACAATGTGAATACGTAATGCTGGGTTTGCCTCTCAATTTTAATACTATTTTTCCTTTTTAGATTTTTGTAAACTTTATATACTTATAAGATATTTATTGTATTTCTTTTGTATTTGTACTCAAACTTTACTATCTGTACTATCGGGCCTAGGTCCGTTTTATTCTACTGAACAAACTATTATTATTACTAATACTTGATAAGCATTAATAAATATAAATTGTATTTTATCAATAACTTGTAACAACACAGTGTACAGTGTAATAACTTGACTCATTTTCTCAATCACTTTCAAAATCATCCTCGTCATTTTTAAGCTCCCAGTTCATTATTTCATACTTATCGGAAATTGACCCTTTTAAAAATTCCCAACTATTTAAAAAACTTATAAATTCTTCGTGAATTTGATTGTAAACTTCATTTTCAGTTTTATAGTTGGTAAATTTCAATATATTTTTTGATAAAGTTTTGAAAGCTTGATGTGGTAACGATTTCTTATGTGCTAAAAATTGTATAGGTGACAAAAGGTCCAATTCTGTCAACAATTCACTATTAATAGAAAATCTTGATATCATACTTTCAATTACTGTACCCATTACATAGTTATATACTTCAACTGTAAGTTTATTCAGCATCTTTAATGGGATCATCATTTAAATTCTCTCCGGGCATTTTTTTTTTTCATAAAACGTAATAGGTACTTCAAATTGTTCTTGAATACAAACGCAGAACATTTTTTCTCCATCGTCTATAATTTGATCTATTTTATTTTACAACAATATACATTATAAAATATATTCTTGCTCAAGAATATATTTGCATTCAATATCAAAACTTACATTAGTTTACTAAATAATTACTTTAAAAACATTGTTATAATAAATTTAATTTTTAATGTATATGATATTTAAAATAATGTTTTAATAAATTGTGTTATTTAATATACTTAGAACACTATTAAATATGCCAAATCAAGTAAATGAGAACAAAATACTTTTAATACTCAACATTCTCACGTCCCATTAGCAGCAATATATTTTTGTAGGAATAATAAAATAGCAATGTTAGGATTTCCACCAAATACCACACATCGACTATAGCCTCTTGATGTATCTTTTTTCGGACCTCTTAAAACATATTTTAGTCAATCTTGTGACAACTATATGATAAATAATAGTGTCTGTAATGTCAGAAGCAACTATTAGTAAATTCACGAAGACTAGAATAAGGAGACCAAACTCCGCTTCTGATAACATCGCAAAATGAGTCGCAAGATCAAACGGCCACAGGCTGCGCTGCGTACGCTAGGTTTGTTACTTAAACCCACGTAGTATAGGTATGGTGACCAGACGTACTTATTTTATAAGGACAGTACTGTTTTTTGGTAACATGTCCTACTGTCCTAAATAAATGGTCGAAGTACCCTTAAATGTACTTATTTTTAATAATTTAATAATTCCAAATGGAAATAAGTTACCTAAATTCAAATTTAAGGGATTTAAAAATTTTTTTATAAAAAAAAAAAGTTTTTATACTGTGATATAGACGATATAGTGTTAATCACGGACCAAGATATACAGGACCAGTGGCGTATTTAGGAATTTGTCATGGGGAGGGTCCAGATAATTTTCAGAACACAGAGCCACGGGGGACGAAGCCCCCCACACCACCCATTTACTCTTTATTAAATAAAATATACCATATTTATAAGACGATATAAAATTGTCGAGTTTTTAATTATTAAATAATAATATGTACAAAACAAATTTAAAAAAAAGCGGGTAAGTGGATGTCACTCTGCTGCTGTACAGTAGGTTACAAGTGGGTCAATGCATAATGGATTGTATTAAACTTGAACTCAATGATATAATATCATAATATCATTGTATAAGAAAAACGATTCTCAGCGAAGACGGTTTGTCAGTCTGGATATTTTATATTGTTATTATTTATAGCCTGTAAGTTGAATTAATAATGAAATACTTTTATTTTTCATTTTTTTCTATGGTGATAGACAAAGTGTTAGATATTAAAATCCCATTTTTAGAGGTTTTTCGTAATTTTTTGGTGGTTTTTACAGTGGCATTAAATAACTATTGAGAAAATCGAAAAATGACCTATCTAAAGTACTATCTTGATCCAATTTTCTAAAAGATAAGTTACTGTATGTCTATACATGTTGAAATCGAAGCACTCCTTCTGGAAGAAATTTTGTATACAGGAAAAAGAAATAAACACCATTGTAAAACCAATAGATCCCTCAGAATCGAATATATAGTTATATGTTATAACTTTTATACAATATTTACTTAATTACATTAGGTACCTTCTTCATTCATAGTTGATCTTAGATAGCTTTTCAACCTTAAAAGGGTTGAAAAAGATCTCTCTGGAGTGATTGTAGATACTGGCAATGTACAAAACTACAAAATATTTGAATTAAAAAATTTTAAACCATTAATTTTTCAACCATTTTCGGTACCTGCAACTGATAAAAATAATCACGATATTTATTGAAAATGTTGATATAACTATAGCTTCGAAAATTTTTTATAAAATTCGTAAAATCGTATGATAAAATTTGTTTTTTAATCATGTAAAAACTGCACAACATTTACTATGTACGGGAGACGAGTCAATGGGGGGGGGGGGGTCCAGACCCCATGGACCCCCCCCCCGTAAATACGCCACTGTACAGGACTGGTAACGACTAGGAAGAAGGGGAGCAGGGGTCTGTCCATGAAAAGATATAGATGAGACGGTGTGCGAAGGGAAAATACTTTTTGAGCCCAAGCTCTATCTGTTAGTTGAGCTCAGCAACAGTCAACAGACTAAAAAGTAGTTCCTCAATATTCAAATGGTTTATTTTATTTATATAGTTATTTATATTTATTTATATTTTTATTTCTTGTTTAGTTGTATGTAATATACATAATATTGTATGCATATTTTATATGTTGTTTTTATTTATTTTGTTATTTATATGATGATGAAGCAATACACTAGGAATCTGAACAGAGAAACAAAAAAACTAAGTTCTAAGAAAAAAAAACTATTAAAACTTTTAATTCATTAATTGACCTTACCAATTATATACTAAATTATACTTTATATAATAAATACCTACTAATATTAGTTTTAAATGTTGACTCGTTATTAATTAAGCCGTTTCTCTTTAAACATCATTAACTGTAATATGTATCATATTAATATTATATAATTAATAGTTAATATTTTGCCATTGAGGTAGTTTAATTATTATAACTTGAAAATAATTTATAACTTATAACTTGAAAAATTTAAGGTCTAACTGAACAATTATTAATTATTGGTTTGTCATGGATTTGTTGGAAAGAGAAATGTTATTTATTGCCATCAGGTAGCGCTGAGGCTCAAATAGGAAGATCCCTCCGTCCACCTGCCACCGGTATACCTTTTTCTGACCGCGTTATCGTAATCGTCGCCAGTCCTGTATATCTTAGTCCGTGGTGTTAATATTGTAATCACGGTTTTAGATATTATAAATTATAATAATAACAATCTATTATCACATTGATTATCTATTGCGGCAGGACGTAACCACCGGCTTCGCCGTTCGGAGGCGCATCAGTAGGTCACAAACACACCACGGGTATCTCAATTACCAAAGTCTTTAATAATTTGATTAATGATAATAATTTTAATGATTATAATTAATTATTGTTGTGATTTTGTACTTGTTAATTGTTTTAATATTAATTTTAAGATGAGTGCGCCTCGCAGAAAGTGTAATTTTTATAGTGATTTACAAAAAGAATTTCCTTTTTTGAAGCCAACTTCAGTTTCCATTTACATTGTTTACTGTGAAATATGTAAAAGTGAAGTTGATATTTCAAATAGTGGTTGCGGTAGTATTAAAAATCATTTAGCAAAAAAGAAACATACATTAGCTCTAAATGCTGTTTCATCGAGTGGGAAGGTAACTAAATTCTTTAGAGATAACAATTTAAGCTCAGAAAATTTACTAATTGCGGCAAAGGAAGGAACTTTTACCTACCATACTATCAATCACATGCAAAGCTTCGGGTCTTTAGATTGTACATCAAATTGCAACTTTATTTGAACCAAAATTTACCATGGGAAGAACTAAATCTGAAGTAATTGTTAAAAATGTGCTAAAGATGCCCAGTCAAGACTGAATAATGCTTTACAAAAAAATAATTATTTTAGTGTTATGGTAGATTCATCCAATCATCGTGAAATAAAAGTTGTACCATTACTTGTGAGATATTTTGATTCTGATAAGGGTATACAAGTCAAATTATTAGAACTTAAAGATTTGCCAGGTGAATCATCTGAAATATTAAATGAATATATATTTAATACTTAATTAAAAGTAGATATTGTATCTAAATGTATTGGTTTATCTGCTGACAACACCACCACAAAATTTGGTAAAAATAACTTGTTTAAAAAATTAACTAATTCTTGTTCTACATCTATTGTTGGTGTTGGATGTGTGGCTCATATTTTAAATAACTGTATTCAAAATTCAACTGATATATTACCCTTTGATATTGAAGTCATTATAGTAAAGATTTATAAGTATTTTTATATTTACACTGTTTGAGTCAGTACATTAAAAACATTTTGTGATTCTGTGGAAGTAGAATACAAAAAAATTTTGTCATTTTCAAAAACAAGGTTTCTAAGTCTTATGCCAGCTGTTGAAAGGATTTTACAAATGTTTGAGCCGTTAAAAGTATATTTTGGGTGTACAAAATGTCCAACAATATTAAAGGAGATCTTTGAAAACCCAGTTGGTGAAGTTTGGTTTTTGTTTATTCACAATCAGAGCCGTGCCGTTACGATTTGGCGCCCGGGGCAAAATTAAAAATATTCGTCCCCTATTTTATTTATCATTAATCATAATGCGTTTCATTCCTATTTAATTTAATTTAATTTTTTTTTTTACAACGTATTTTGAACATTAATTTGACAAAAAACTAAAGTTAATTGTAATAGTAATTATTAAACAAAATAGTTAGGTATAATTTATTAATTTATACCGTATTAAATAATTAAAAATGATAAAAATCACAAATTATATTATATATACATGTTATATTTACAAACGTATCATAAGAGCGTATCATATATAAGTATCATATAGTTAAAACTTAATTTTTCTGGACTTTATTGAAGCAAAATCTTCAATGACGTCTTCAAAATCAATGCTTTTTGTTATTTCATGCTCAATTGATAATATTTCAGAATTGGTTAATCTGTTTTGCGACATGGTTGACCGTAAATACGTCTTAGTTAGTTTCAATTTACTAAAAGAGCGTTCCCCGGAAGCGACGGTAACAGGCATGGTAAGAAACAATCTATATGCAGTAATTAAGTTTGGACAAGTTGAATCAAGTTCAAATTTTTTAATTGCGTTTAAAATATTTAAAGCAGTTGCGTTTAAGTCTGGTAAAATTGCTTTTACTTGATATTTAAAAAATTCGATTTCGTTAATTATTTCCTGGTCAATATCTTCGTTGTATTTGATAGCTAAATCAGCTGCATATTTTTTCAATTTTTCAACTGGTGTAACAGATAGTGAATGAGCAGAAAGGAATTGAAAATCATCAGCAATATTTGATAATTGTTCAAACCTCCATTTCATTTGAGCCATCATATTATCAAGAACTTTGTAGTATTCCAATGTTAAAAATTGATCTGCAGAAATATCTTCACCCGATGAATTTTCTCCACTCATAACTTTCCTTTTTATTGTCCTTTCGATTTTTAATTCAGATTTTATTCCAACTTTATCACAAATACTAATAGCTTCAGTTTTAATTTGTTCATTTCCACTATCACGCATTTCTTGGAGAGAAACATTTAAACAATTTATTATTTTTGAAGCCTGATCTATTGAAATATTTGAGCTTTGTAATAATTTATTTACACGATATATTTGATTCAATATTTTATACCAATAGGCAATAATTTGTATCTGGTTTTTATTTACTAACGCTTATCGCACTTCGCGTGCTCGACGTGCAGTCGATTTTGAGATAAAGAATACGATAATTTATTATAAAGCCAATAATATAACAAGAATAAAACGTTTGGTTGACTAATCGTTACTCCTCAAACATAGTCACATAGTCAGAAATTTGTTCAGAAAAAATTTGTAATGGTCCAAAATAATTTTAAAACAATAATCTTTCTCATATATTTTATTTATGTAAAGTTTAAAATATTATAAAAAAAAAATGTTTGGCGCCCCTTTAAACCATGCGCCCGGGGCATATGCCCCCTAGGCCCCCCCCCCACGGCACGGCTCTGTTCACAATTATTCATCATTGTTTCATCAAGCAATCTTAAAAATTGAAGGTGATAAAATATGTGCTACTGAAGCTTCATTGGAGTATTTAAAACTTCTTAACATCTTAACTCTAACATCCTAACTAAGTTAAAGCATTGTTATCAAAACTTCAGAGTTTAAATCCAAATGAAGATGTGTATGATCAGTTTTCATTAAAGTCTGAGCAATTTTATTCTAGCTGTATTAATTATTTAAACAAGTGGTCTACAAATATGAATATATATATAAATACTTATTTAAATAAGGTTAACCACCTTTAATTAAATTAATTATAATTAATAGTCATTTACAATATTTCAAACCAATTTCACATAGGTTTATTATATAATATTATATATATAATTTAATGATTTAACATCATTGTGATTTCATTTCAAATACATCAATAAGAGTTTAAAAAGAGGAGGTAGGTATAAGCTCAGGGCTGCTCCAGTGACATGGTTATGGAGGGGGGGGGGGTGGCTAGTCATAATGTTCAGACAATTTCGATGATTTTTGTTTGTAATTTTGTTTTTAACAGTATTAAATTGTTTAGAAATACAGCTTGGGCCCCCCTGTATATGCTACTATGCCCAGCTATATAACTACCATGTGATGACTAATATGAGACGGATTTACATCAATTGGATGTTAATATGAAATCAAATAGTGTTGTATGAGCAGTTATAATGCGATGTTCAGTAGATATTTATGATTAACTTTGTTTTTATGATGTCGCTCAACCTGGCGTTTAGCATCTCCAATATATCAATAAGAAGTCCTTAGGATCTTTATATTAACATCACATATCCAAAATGAACTACCTTGCGACATCTATAATCTGATTTATGCACACCTAATCATGGTATACAATATACAATATACATATACAATGAGATAAGGCATTTATACATTATTCAAATGGAATAATTACAGCTGGTGCTTGGTAAACCTGCTATTATAGGCACCTACATAAATAAATAAATGGTACCTACGTGTTTCAATCAAGTTTCTTATTTAACGGAAACTGGTTGGCGGAAACGCAACAAAAATCTCCTGTGTTATTCTTTTTTAAACAAAATACAACAGCTTAGTTATTATTAAAATTGAGTTCAAGAAACGTTGTTTTGAAAAAATCTTGTAATTTTATCATTTGAACGGTTGACGTTTAACAAATTTATTTTTAATATTTTTTATTACTGAGCCTTTGTTTAACGTCGATACTGATTCCGTCAACAATTGTTTTGACGAAGAAATATCTTTTGTATTGTCCTTTGAACATATTATATTATGTGTATTTTGTTTTCGATTTCCATGTAGGATATTTTCAGGTTCTGGGTTGACTATAGATTTTTTTATATTGGTCTTTGAACATGATATTTTATGTAAACTCGACTTCCTTTTATCTAGTTTACGTTGATCAATTGTCTGACTTATGTCTGCAGATAATCTATTAGATGTTTCAGCATTTACCGAATGAGACTGCACATTTTGTACACGATCTCCGCCAGGACCTTGCTTTTTAATTATCGAAGACTGCCTGTTTATTGTTGTGTTCGACTAAATAGTAGAAGTTTAATAAATATTATGTATATTATATTATTTGAAATAAATAATTGTTTACAGTTTACACAAGAACTATAGTTAGTTAATGTTTTACCGATATTTGTAAAACGAGGCTGGGTGATTATCCTTATCAGTACCTACTACCTACAATGATATAATATAAGTTATAACTTATAAACCTATAATACCATGACATATTAAATAGGTATGTCAGCAATATTACCAGTTTAGAAACAAATCATGCACACACCCTCCGCCCAGCAAAGTACTGTGACGTACTGACGTAAGCATTTCTCATTGGTCCACTCACTCAATCCGTCACTGCCGCAATAGCCACCGATGCCGAAGACTCCACCACCACTCCACCGCTCAACCAGTTGGAGAAATGCTTACGTTACAGACATGCGTGATGCGTATCACGAGTTGCTGACATACATATTTAATTTGTCATGTATAATACTAAAAATTATTAATAACGATTTTCTATGGAAACTGTAATTAGGTATATTATGTTTTAAATTCGGAATCATAGGTAGGTACTACATAAATTATACAATACACGATCATTGTTCGTTCAATTGGTAGGTATTTAAAATCACAATTCACGAAATATTTCAAGTTGCTAATAAATACGAGTACGTATAAAAAGTTTAATTTTAAAATACAATTTTTTTTTTAAATTTTAAGTCGAAATAAACAATTTATATCAGATGACATAATAAGTATATTATATGATAAGAGACAGATAACATGAGTACTTATACAAAAAAAATAAAAGTGAGTAAAGAAGTTACCCAATGATGACACTTTAATGATGATTTTTAAGTTGTGAGATAATTAATATATTTATTTATTTATTTTTTTAGATAGAAATTTGTAACAGGTCTCTGCACCATTTACGTTATTAACGTCTAGGAGGGCTGCCGGGGATTGAGAGGGAGGAAAGGTTTTTAATTAAATGATTTGAGTAGGAAGAAAGATGGTTGTGGAATCTTTTGTAAAAATGTTTTGCTTCCTCATGGATAGTTTTTATTTTTAGGTCTGATTGTAGAGTAAGGTTATGCTAATGTTATACTAATGTATGGGGTAGCATTTATTAGTTTTCTTAGGGCAATATTTTGGAATAATTGAATTTTATTTAAATTTGTCTTTTTTGCACTTCCCCATAGCTGTATCCCGTACGTCCAGATTGGTTCCAGTAGTGTCTTGTATATATGGAGTTTGATATTAGGGGAGGTGTGTTTATTAGAGATTAAAGGTTTGAGGATACGAAAACGGTTGTTGAGTGATGGTCTTTTTCTCTAATGTTAGCCCATGTTAGCCTTTTATCTAGTGTAAAATCAAGGTATTTAGCTGAAGGAGAGGATGGGATTGGAGGACCGTACAGAGTTACATCGGGGGAAACAGCTGGTCTAAGTGTAAATGTGGTGTAGATTAGACTTGCTATGGTTTAATTTAAATCTCCATTTGGTATACCAATTCTCCATAAGGTCTAGGTGAGTTTGAAGGTTTTCAGATGCTATAAGTGGATTGTCATTCATTGAGATAATTACCGTGTCGTCAGCATAGTCTGCTAGTGATGTATTTAGTGTAATTGGTTGATCTGCGGCGAATATATTATAGAGAATGGGGGATAAAATTCCACCCTGAGGGACCCCAGCACTTGTACTACCAATAATTGACGTGTCAGACCCGTCGCGTATTTGGAAGGTATATTCAGTTAGATGAGAAGATATAAGGTTGAAGGAAGAATTGTTTTAGCTTATGTAGGAGACCATCGTGCCAGACGCTATCAAACACTTGTGATATGTCTAGGAAAGCGGCTGTGCAATATAGTTTTTTTTCCAGGGAGAAAGATATTGCATCTACTACCCTATGCAGTTGATGGGTCGTTGAAGTGAAGAACGAAAACTAAACTGGTAGTCCGGGAGCACTTTCTTGTCAGAAAGTATTGGTAGGATACGTTTAAGTATAAGTTTTTTTAGTATTTTCGCAAGGAAGGGAAGAAGACTTATTGGTCTGTAGGAAGAAGTTGTATCAGCTGGCTTATTTGGCTTTTGGATCATGATGATTTTTGAGAACTTAGAGAGAAGTAGTAGAAAGTAAGATAGTCTAATTATTGAGTTGAAAATATGTGTAATATGAACAATGGCTCTTTTTGGGAGACATTTAACTTCTTCAGCTGTGATTAAATCATAGCCTGGAGATTCGTTTTGCGGGTATTTTTGGATTTGATATTTTAAATCGTTAGGAGAGAAGGGTTTAATTGGGAGAGAGGAATGAGAAGGGACATTGAGAGACCTGTTGACCAGTAACATAGTATCAGGATCAAATATATCTGAATGTGGGATTAATATCTCAGAAAGATGTATTTTGAATAATTCAGCTCTTTCAGAGTCCGATGACATAATACTGCCGTCATGTTTTATTAAAGGGAGGTTAGAGGCTTCATATCGGAAAATTTTTTTAGTGGCTTTCAGACTGCCATCTTTTGAAGAGAGATTTGAAAGATAAAAAACAATTTAAATATTTTATTATAAACATATTTAAAAAAGTAATTAATGATACTAATAAAAAAAATAAGTACCTACATAAATAGTTTTACTCACCTGAATTCTACAATTCTACATACTATTAAACACCATCTGTGTGTCTATATAACTTACTTTTTCATCTATCTTGGATAAGTTAACTATTGATTTATTACTCAGCAATTTTTCAAACTCTCTCATTTTATATTCAAACGCCGTATTGTTCATCTCATAAAAGTATGACTTTCGTAATAATCGATTCGCCGAATACCTCTTTGATGGATCATAAACTATCATATTTATGATTAAATCATATGCCGGACGGTATGGTTGGTACACTGAATGCAGTCCAATTCCAGTAGTTCTGTCATTTCGTTTATTAGTTTCGTATCGTGCAACGAACACATCAGATTTATATTTTTTAAATTTATTAATTAATCTTTGGTCTGGAGAACCTAATACCCGGTCAATCTTTTCAATTTGGTCATTTTCGTCTCGACCATCGAACAACGGATGACCGGTAGCTATTTCATAAAGTACACATCCCGTTGCCCAAATATCCATCTTTGAATTGTACCAACCTCGTGTTAACAAGCATTCAGGGGATCGGTACCATCTAGTTGCCACGTATTGTTTGTACTGATGGCCATAAATGGCTTGACATGAGGTTCCAAAATCACCAATCTTTAGTATCTTGTCCCGCGAAGTGAGCAAAATATTTTCTGGCTTGATATCCCTATGGATAAAGCCATTCTGGTGCAAATACCTTAAGCCTTTACAAAACGTTCTAATGAATAATAATTATTATTATTTGTTACAACAATTATACCTTCTAACATTTGATACACATAAGTTTTAATTCTATATTCTGATAGTGGACATTCTCCGTTTTCTATAATATCGTAAAGTGATTTTTTCATTAATTCTGTTACTAAAATAATTTGTCCTTTTTCTTTATCGTGGTATGCGCTTTTTAGCATAAGTAAGAACGGATGTTTTCCCACCGAGTTTGATACATTAACTTCGGATATAGCGTTCCATTTATCAGCGTCTACTGTATGTCCATAATCTTTTTTTAATACTTTTGCCGCATATTCTCGTCCGTTGTTTCGTTGCACACATAACCATACATCAGAAAACGATCCTTCGCCAATTTTTTCCTTCAGATCAAATTCAGAATAAAAATTATTAAAATTTTCTCTACTAGATAGTAGATTTGGTTTATTTGGTGACATTAGGTCGAATAAAACTAAAAATGTAAAGTAAGTATATAACCTAAATGTAATATTGTATTAAATATGAACAATATTTCTACTTTATGGACATTTTATTAAAACGTTTTGGTTACCATACAAACACTGGAAATCGATTTTCATTAATTTATATCTTAAAGGTATAGGCCAGATGTTACATTTGTATTTATTTTTATTTTAAAATGTGTGTGTTATAATGTACCTATAATATATTATAAATATATGGGTATATTTAATTTTCTAATGGAATTAGAAATGTATTAACAATTATGAAACTAGAAATGAATATAGACTTCAGATAAACAACTAACACAAAATATGTTTTATCATACCCATATATACTCTGTACCAAATAAGAGGGTACCGGGTGAAGAAAACCGGTCGAAACTCACGCATGACAGAGAGCGCTACCGCAACGGCGGCAGGGTAGAGTGTCGGCGGCGAATATAGCAGACTAACGGCGACCAATGACTGAGCGAATGGACCCGGCCAGGGGGTCCGGACGTCACTCCGCGATTCATTTGGATGCGCCAACGCGGTGCGCTCTTATTTGGTACAGAGTATTATAGTCTCATAATGTAGTTAGGAAGTCGAATGTGCAGAATGGCAATGTTATAAGTTATAACAATGGCCCAGTATATTGTAGGTTAAACATTTTCTCTATCTTGCACTTATATTTACATTTGACATCGTACATTCATACATAGGTACTACATAGTATTTTACTATGTAGGTACTTACTAATTATAATCAGTGGTAAAAGTAATAAAACACACTTGTTTACAAACCTACAATACCCTCCCCCACAGTTGAAAACCACCCAATGGCCTAAGTATCCGCGGATTAATTAATGAAAAAAAAAAAATGTAATAAAAACTACCACTAATTGTGATTACAATTAGTTACATTAGTGTTAAATTCAGTTTTAACACGTTGATGGACAGCACATGCTATAGCATTCATGATTTTTAAGTAGTACCTTCGCATGACTGCCATAGCATTCAAATTCTAAAACGCGGTTTGTGCCTTATATTTTTTTTACCTTATATTTTTTAGGTATGGTATTATTTGTTTTATCATATGGTTTATAATATGTTTAAGAACACTTATATCACGTGCGCTGGTTCGGCAAATCTTGTTATCTTATGATAAAATATTATTCTCTCAAAATTGTGTTATCATATATTCAAAATATAAAATAAAGTATACGAACAACGTAAATAAGATAGGTTCTTTTATTAATTTTTCTAAAAAAAGTTGCATTCTTATTATTATTAATTTATCATTTCAAACTGTACTGAAATTATGAATAATGAAAATGATATATTGGAAATGCTTGACAGGATCGATGAAGGTAATTAATAACAATCAATAAATCTCTTCCAAATAAATATAACTACCTACCTAGTTGTATCATGGTATTTCAACTTTACATTTTAGAAGGGATATCTATGTCAGATGACTCATATATTGACTTTGATTATGAAGCATCTGAAAGAAGTGATGGCAATTCGATAATAACAGATAGTGATGTGGACCATACGACTACTCCATCCAATTCCAGTGACAACAATGTTTCTTTCGATCAAAATATAATTTTTAGACAAGTAAATGAACCAGTAAGTGATGTTAGTATTCAAAGTTTTAGTAGTGATGATGAATCTGATGTAAGTGACTGGGAAGAAAACAAACTCGATGAAATTGAAGATTTTAATTTTGATAATAATAGTGCAGGAATAAAAATTTAAATAAACGATGATTCTTTACCAATTGATGTATTCTTAAAAATATGGGATGATGATATTTTTGATTTAATTCTTACTTGCACTAATAATTACCAAAAAAAAATAAATTCTTTAAATCGTCCGCACACAAAAAATGGCAGATTGAAGAATGTAAGTGCAGTTACTCGAGAAGATCTGGAAAAGTTTTTCGGTCTTTGTTTATTGAGAGGTCAGCTAAAACTTCCAGTATTAAGAAATGCTTTTAGTTCTAATCCCTTATACTATCATCCAATTTTTAATGCAACAATGTCAGGTAGAAAGTTTGAAAACATTTTGAGATCTCTGAACTGTTCAGAAGGTTTAAACCTAAACATCAGAGATAGATTATATAAAGTTACAGTTTTAATGAACAAACTTATAAAAAAATTTCAAGACAGCTTTAGTCCAGAAGAAGCCTTGTCCTTGGATGAATCTATGCTGCTTTGGCGTGGGCGACTAATATTTAGGCAGTACATTAAAAATAAAAAACATAAATATGGTATCAAGTTCTATGAACTATGCTCACCAGATGGCTATGTACTTAATATTGAAATATATAAAGGGAAAAATGTTGAAGTAACAGGTAATTCAAAAATTAATGATTTGGTTTTAAGACTAGTTAAACCATACTTGAATAAAGGACATCATCTTTGCATGGACAATTATTATAATTCAGTCAATTTATCAAACATATTGTATAAACAAAGAACTCACACAACTGGAACACTTCGATCAAATAGGAAAAACAATAATCCTTCATCAATTGTTAAAAAAAACTTTGAAATTAAAAAAAGGACCAGTTTATGTCAGTCGTTGGAAGGATAAGAGAGAAGTGTTTTCTATAACCACTGGTCATCATCCAGAAATGGTTATTACATCTAATAGATTTTGTCAACAACAAAGTACAAAGCCCAGACATATTGTTGAGTATAATAAAAATATGTCTGGTATTGATAGAAGTGACCAAATGGTGAGTTATTATTCATCACCAAAAAAAAACAATTCGCTGTTACAAAAAAGTAATTTTTCACTTGCTAGATATATCTATGTGGAATGCATATTATTTATATAAAAAAAAATTGAACAATATAAACCTTCGTTATATTGATTTCCACTCATCTGTAATAACGAAACTTCTTCATTTATCCGAAAATATTGTACATGGCAGTCAATTGGTAAATAAAAAAAACATCAGAATAAGGACATCTGATAAACCAAGAAACACATCAGTGGTATTAGAACATGTACAAGAAAAAATACTTCATCCTCCAGGTATTATATTTTTATTATAATTATAAAAGATTTAAAACTAAAAATTTGGAATATTATTTCAGGTTGGAAGAGAAAAGGGTATTACTTAAGATGTACAAGCCAAAAACAAGTGAAACAGACTTCATGGATTTGTAAGAACTGTCCTGAAAAACCACCTTTGTGTCCTGGGCCTTGTTTTTTAGATTATCATAGTGTTGCATAGGTTTCTAAGACTGATTTGTCATCTATAAGCCTATTTTAGAAGCTGATTTTTAATTTTTTTTAATTTTTAATTTTTATGTTTATGTTATACATTTTATATGGACTATTGTCACAGCAAGAAAGCTATTTAGTATATGAGATTTAATTTTGTTTTTATAGTAATAGAAAAAAAAAGTGAGAAAAGTTGAAATTGTTATGTTTTAAATTGTTACTATTATTTTAAAAATTGTATTTAGTATGATTTAGTGGACACTAACTCTTATGCAATACCTATATGTATTAAATTTTTTTGTTTTATTAAATTTACTACTATTGATTTGTTGGAAGTATTACTTATCAGCTAATTAGCTAATATATTTATAACAATATAATTTGTATACCATAAAAAAAGGATTTTATCCTTTCAAATATTTCTATCTATGATCTTGGAACTCCCTAATAATATTAGGGAATACAGTTTACCATCTTGGTAAGCTAGTGCATCTTGGTAAAAAAAAAAAATAATAACATGCTATAGCATTCATGCCCATGTACAACTTAAAAAAAAATTATTTTTAAGTACTGATAATTTGTGTATAAACATCGACAGTATTGGACAAAAGGAACTTAATAAACTAAACTGATCCAGTAAGGGGTCAAAAGTTGGTGAATGCTATAGCAGTCATGTCCATCAACGTGTTAAATTAAGGTAACCTTACATATTAAAACAATTTAATAAAATAATATTATGCGGATTCTTTAATTTTTTTGATTTTTTTGGTTTTTAAGAAGGTTATAAGTAGGTATTCAATTTACTACATTTTTTTAATTACTCATTTACAAATTAGTAATAATTTTTTTTTAAATAAAAATATTTAAAAAGCTTTCGTCACAACATAGTCACACAGATATAATGTTAATTTTTGTTCTTTATAATCGTTATAATAGCCAATAGGCAATAGGTAATAGGGAAATAGGTACCTTAATTTAATTTTAAACAATGAGTGAATACGGAGAGAGATTTCAATATTTATATTACACGTGTGTAAGAAGCAGAAAACAATTTGTTACCTACATTGATGTGCGTGAAGAACTATAAAAATATAATATAGTAAATGCTGTTCCATCAGGTCTTCACATCTAATACCATTTTAAAAATTTTACCTTCTGGTAAACCTAAAAATTCAATATAAAAAAAAAAATTTTTATTTATTATAATATACATAAATGAATGAAGTTACAAACCCTCATTTGCTTGATGTTTTCTGAACTCATCACTAGCATTATACTAAATTTAATAAATTTAACAATATTTCTTGTTTTCTCTATCAGTTGACTAAGATTTGCACAGTTATCTATTGAGTTGTTATCTATGGTAAATGTGTCACATGGTACTCTTTTAATATTAGCACCTATAAACAACATGATTTATGAATTGAAAAAATAAAATAAAACAAGTTAAATTAATATTCATTAGTTAACCATTGTCAGTTACTATTTCAATAATTTGGTCTTTTCTAATTTCCCATTCTGATAATATGTCTTCAAATTGTTCACTTACATTTGTTGACGTATGTGTTTTTGTAAGTTCATGCACACCTAACGTACCTAAATACCAACACATACTTAAAGGACCATGAAAGGAATAAAAATCATTTTTTTTGTTTTAATGAAATCAAATAGTGCATGAAAAATAAAAAATTTCTGTAGTTTCAAAATTTTTATCTAACCATGGGTTCTGCGTAAATTCATCAGTTTTGTTTAACGTGTGACGTCACTGGTGCGCCGCCGCGCCGTCGCGTCGCGCGTCGCTGCCGTCGCCGATCATCACAGTCCACACTCCACGCCACGCTGCGACGCAAATACGTGTATTATAATAAATAATATTATTTTTACTATTTAGTGCATGGTAATTACTAGGGTTCGGATTTGAAGGCAAATGCCTTTCTTTTATTAATCATAATAGAAAAATAATTTTTATACAAAAATGTGTTTCATTTAATTTCTTAGAGAATGGATCTTTTTTTTTTTTGCCTTTTTTTGCCTTTTTACTTATAAATGCCTTTTTGCCTTTTTTTACCTTTTGTTTATTTTGCATTAAATTAACTGGTATAACTCAAGTAAGTTAATATTTAAAATTGTTTTTAACTAATTCTTAGGACAAACCTTGTTAAAGAAAAAGGTACCTAATCTATTTATACAAAATACCATAAACTTAATGTAGTTTAGTATTCATGCTCATTTTTAATTTGTATTTTTCTCAAAATGTGTGCATTTAAAAGTGTTTAAAAAATGTTCACTATTTTATTTTGTAGTATATTTATGAATTGCCTTTTTATATAAATTAAATGCCTTTTTTTGCCTTTTTTTACATTTTAAATGCTTTTTTTATTGATTATATTGCCTTCAAATCCGAACCCTAGTAATTACTAACGTACACTGTACACACGCATATCAGAATTTGCATTATATAATATTACATACGAACGACGTACTAGCTAAGTACTTAGCTAATAGCTACTAGGTAAGAATAAGTATTAAAATATTAAAATATTGCCATACAAACTTGAGTTTTTGATAATAGCATTATTTTACAAAAATAATATTTTATAATTATTGTTGTGATATTTTGTGTTTATTTTATTTGTAACTGAGTTTACATTATGTCTATATAATTATAGCTTACATACCTATTAATAATATAATATATTGTAGAAAACATTAAAGTTATAATACTACTATTTATAGTTTATAATTTATATTATGTTACTCTGGGAGTTTGTTGTTTTCTTTGAAGCCCACGTAATTTCCATTATTTTCTGGATATTTTTTTCGAATCGCTTTCACTACACATGCTGGAATACATATTCGATTACCTGTAGAAATTATTACAATTTACTGGTCCGCAAGTAATTTATTAAAACAACCTATATAATGGAAACAAAATATTTTTTAATTATTATTTACCTTTGCCTATTGCAGACCATGAGTTTATCCAGTGAATAAATTGTTTATAGCATATAAATCTCCAAGTTTTATTCTGGGGACATGGACTTGAAAGCATTTTTTTCATGTTACTGTTACGAATTGGTGATGTTGAGAATTTCCTCGTCCATAATAACTTTTCGAAAAGATGGAATGTTAGTTATACAATTTTTTTTGTCATGCAATTTAGTCAAGTTGTCAAATTCGAAACAACAAACACATTCTTTATCAGTTTTCACAGTAGTACATTTCTTGCATAAACACCAATCTTTGATTTCCTTTTTTGTTCTTTCGTCGCAACTAATCGCCACTAACGGATTAACCGATATTGTTTCTAACGTTGTTAGAATACAATATCTATAATATCTTGTAGGGTAGGTTCATAACAATAAGGCTGTAAGCTCATTTTTCCTCTTCACTTTTAAATAATATACAATTGAACAATTTATATACGATGGTCACAAATATTCACTGTAGCGAGCGTTATTGATGACACACCGACAACTGGCAACGACGCTTATTGACTGTGGGATACCTAATATAATATTATTATCTGTGTTTATTTTCGTAACTCCAGTTTTATAAAATATATTTTTTAGATCGTTGTCAAATGTGTGTTTTCCCCCTCATGCGGATATACACTGTCAAGTGTTTCTAAATTATCAATATTATTTATTGTACATACTGTATAGACTATATATTGTAATTATATTGCTCAAATAAAGCCAATAAAAAAAAAAAAAAAGATCGTTGTTTACTTTTATTGATAAAATTATTCATTGTTAATTTCATTTTGTTTGATCATAATTCATAATATATTACACTATTATAATGATAATATTATGTAGGTATAACAGTAATTGTTATATATATTCATATTGGTAAAAATAATCTTGAAGTAATTTTTATCATAATTTAGGTTTAAAAATGCCAATCTGTTCGGCTTATGGATGCTCTGAAAGTGATGAAAGTTCGAAACGTTTACATTTCTACAGATTTCCAAATCGTGAAAATCACCAAACAGGCACAAAAAATGGATAGTTTTTTGTAAACTAAAAAACTTTAAGCCATCCAAAAATTCTAGGTTGTGTTCCAAACATTTTAAACTTGAAGACTTTAATCAATCCGATGTTCTTAGAGAAAAATTGATGCCTGATACTAAAGTCAGAATTAATTTGAATTCTGGAGTAATACCCACTCTACGATCCGAAACAATTGATTTATTACCTAGTAAACGTGATTTAAAAGTAAAACGTTGGTATTACACAGAGACTGCAAGTTTGATTCCATCAAGTACACCAGAAAAATCGATGCTAGTAGAAAACTACGATGAGATTGATTTTAATTTTAATTAATTTTACTGACACTAGCTTAGATACAGATATTTTAGAGGAACTAATTAATCCAAATGATAAGAGTTGTACAGTGTGAAATTGGAAAAGATATTTATACAAATTTAGAAGTAAATGATGATTTATCATTCGATTTTTCATCAGAATCCAGCGATGAATCTTGTTCTTCAGATAGTGAAGCTGATATTAACTGTAGTTCAAGTAATAAAAAAAATAGATTGTCATTAACTGCAAAGAATAATTCTGAAAATGATTCTTGTTTCATTTGTTTTGGAGCTGTTTATTAGAACTTTTTACACACTGTCGCCAATGTAGTGGCAAAGTTACATCGAAACAACATTTTATTCAAGGTGCACTACTTTCAGTTTCTACACTGTGTGAAAACGGTCATAGATTACAATGGTATTCTCAGCCGAAAGTTAACAAAAGACCGGAAGGGAATATTTTGATAGGTGGTGCTCTTACATTATCTGGAATTTTATTTAATCAGTTCAAAGCATTTTGTATAGCTATAAAACTTTCAATGTTTACCCGTCCGGTGTTTGATAAAATTATCAATAAATACGTGTACCCTGTCATATGTCATCAATAGCAAGAACACAAAAATGTAAATATTAATAGTATTATGTCTTCTGAGTTACCTATTTGGCTGGCAGGAGACGGTCAATTTGACTCCCCTGGATTTTGTGCAAAATACTGTACATACTCTGTAATGGATATTTGCTCTGGCAAAATTGTGGATTTTAAATTGGTTCAAAAGGGCCAAATAAAAGGTGACCTAGAAAGACAAGCTTGTGAAAAACTACTAACAGAGTTAAAAAATGTATATGATTGTGTAATTGTGTTGTTACTTACAGATAGACACAAAGGAATTCGTAAATATATCCGAACCCAACATTCAAAAATTACGCACGAATTTGATATATGGCATTTGAGTAAAAGCTTGATGAAGAGATTTAAACCATTGGAAAAAAAGTATCCTGATGCATTTTTATGGAAGTCTTCAATAAACAACCATCTTTGGTGGTCTGTCCAAACATGTGAAGGAAATGGAAAATTGTTAGTTGATAAATTTATTTCTGTATTATATCACATTTCTAATAAGCACGAATGGGTTGAAGATGCTAATAAAAATCAATGTCAACACGAAAAATTAACAGAAAATGAAATACGATCAAAATTATGGCTAAATGAAGATAGTGAGTCCTACTATGCTTTGAAGAAAATCATTATGTCAAAAGATTTACTAAAGGATTTAGATCATGCAAAGAACTTCGTGCACACTGGTCGATTAGAGTCATATCATAACTTACGTTTAAAATATATGCCAAAAAGAATCCATTTAAAGTATAAAGGTATGCACATGAGAAAGAACTATGATTGCCATTTTAGACCATAATCATAATATAAATAAAAAAGAATTGGGTAACAAAATGGTATATTCAAAACCTGCTGGACGATATGTTTTAAAAACCAAATATGAACCTAGTAACGACGAGTGGCGTCATACAATTATGTCAGAAATAAAAAAAAAAATGAAAGAAATAACACCAACAATAACAGAATTTGAGACTGTACCAATACCTCAAACAATAGCACCTCAACCAAAACCAAACTATGAAGATTTAATGAAAACAAAATATTCAAGATTTTCACGTAAATAATTTAGTTTTTTAAAAATAAGTTCATTTTCTGTTTTTGATATAACTACTCCATCATATTATAAAGGTGTGTAAAAAATAAGTTTTAAGTTTCGAAATAATAGAAAATAAAATATGTACCTAAGTAAACTGTACTTTTTATTATTAATTAAGCATCGGCAACTTGGTTTATCATTACGTATATTATTTGACAAATGAAGAATAAAATATATAAAACATTATAAAAATCTCGATATAATTAATATAATGTATCTTAATTGTAAAAACGTGTATCAATAAACGTATTATTATTTGTTAAAGTGTTTTTTAGATAAATATTATATCAAATTGATTATTGTGTAAGTAGTGTCGCGTGCCCGTAGTAATATACGTTTAATAACAGCGTAGTGGTTGACGGGCGGCGCACCAGTGACGTCACACGTAAAACAAAACTGATGAATTTACGCGGAACCCATGGTCAGATAAAAATTTTGAAACTACCGAAATTTTCTATTTTTCACGCACTAATTGATTTCGTTTTAATAAAAATTTTTTTTTTTTGTTTTATAGTCCTTTAATAAAAAAAAAGTAAAATGTTATTTATAAATTAAATAATACCTGACACAAATTTAGGGCTTTCCAAAAAATGAATCGTGACAATAAGGTAGCTCTTTATTTGGATATCTGTGACACGGCTACGGCGACGGATTGGCGTGGATGCACCGGGGCCAACCAGATAATTGATAAGCTTTCAATCGCATATAATAAAACATATTATTATGTCCTAGAATCAGGGATCGAAACCGTTTCAAATTTTAGTGATTACGGTTTCAGATCTTGAGAACGGTTTTCTGAATTTTCAAGTTTTGGTTTAGGTCTTAAGATCGGTTTTTAAAATTTTTTTGGTTTCGGTTTAACAAAAGGGTTTTCAAATATTTTATCGGTTTTAAGAACGGTTTTTGAAAATTTTCGGTCTCGGTTTTTGGAACGGTTTTTGAAAATTTCCATTTAATTTTCCTGTGTCTAATTACCGTAGACTCGATTTTTATTATCTATTAACTATTATAAGGGCTGAGTCTAAAGCTCTAAAATATGGCTGATTCGTATAATTAGTGTACAATATACGATATAGCAAATTTACGTTCAGCAGGACTAATTTCGTGTCATTAGCTTAAATATTTCGTACCTAGTTTTAGGTGTCTCGTGCCTACTTTTGCATTCGACATAATATTATGTTGTCATACTATGGTTGAGTTCATTATTTGATTACATTAATATTTAATTGTATATTACTATATATATATACTATATATATACTATTACTATATACTATATTACAATTTACAATATATAAATACAATATTTTATTTTAGTACCTGTGTTGTAATAGTTAGGAGTTATTTATAAAAATCAACGGGGGAAAGCCCTTTAACAAAGAAAAAAAAACAATACATAAGAATTCGCACAATATGAAAACTATTAGACATTGATGAAGATTAAAATTTATAAAAATAACAGGAAATATAAAGATAACATTAAGTATATAAAACAAAACTAGAAGTAAACAATTAGGCATTATGTTTTAAAAATAACAATGTTTTAGCTTTAAATACTTGACGAGACAAGACGAAAAAATATAAGACAGTGGAGATTCTATTGGCATTAAAAACAGCTCTCGAAAAAAAAAATTTTTTCCACTATTCGTATTAAAATTAGGTACATGGAACAAATTAGAATTTCGCGTATACCTACTAGGGATTCTAAATCCAATTAAGTTTAAAAAGTTTAAATTTTGGGCAGTTTACATTATTATTTAAAATATTATAGACAAACATTATATCTATGAGATCGCACCTAATGTTAAGAGAGTCAATACCCAAAGAGTCTTGAACCAGCAGAAACGAGTCTCTGGAAATCGCACAACGAGTAATAAAGGCAACTCTTTTCAGAAATTTATACTGAATATTATTAAGCTCATTTGAGTAAGTTGAATATTTATTAGACCAAATTAAAGAGCCAAATTCCAAGTTTGATCTAACTAAAGAAGTATACAAATTTTTTAAACAAATAGGATTTCTAAAGTCTTTAGTATTCCTAGTAATAAAACCCAACATTTTATAAGCTTTATTTATGATAATTTTATGATTTATTTTGAAAGACAGATCAAATTCAAAACAAATACCTAAATCTGTAATAGAAAAACACCTTTCAAGTGGATGGTTATCAATAAGATAATTATGAAAAACAGGACTTTTACTACGTGAAAAAGTTATAATTTTACGTTTATCGTAGTTTAAGGATTGTCGTATACGCCGATCACAGACGTACACAAATAAACAAACGAATAATAACAGGATGAATAGTTTTTTTTTACTCCATAACACAAGCTTATTTAAATTAGATTTTGGTCAACAACATTTTTGACTTTACAGTAAATTTTAACATCATCAGCAAAAAACATCAAAATATTCACTGAACTATCTAGAATATGAGGGAGATCATTATTAAAAATAAGGAAAAGAAGTGGTCCCAAATGAGATCCTTGCGGAACTCCCGAGGTAACTGAATATTCATTGGAATAGTGAAAAGAAATTTTAACTACTTGAGTTCTATTACAAATATAAGAATATAACCAATTCAGAAAACTTCCATCAAATCCAGTGTTTTAATTTAAAAAATAGTAATGAGTGATTAACCTTATCAAACGCCTTTTCAAAATCGGTATATATTAAATCCACTTGATAACCTTGATCAAGACTGTTGATAAAAAAATTTTGATAAACTAATAAATTAGTATTAATAGAGTGTTTAGGTAAAAATCCATGCTGAGACAAACTTATACTATTAGATAATAAATTTGAAATTTTTTTAGAAATTATTGCTTCAAAAACTTTCGGTATAATTGATAATCTAGAAATTGGTCTATAATTTCTGACATTATTTTTGTTACCTGATTTGAGAATAGGAGATATAAAAGATTTTTTCCAGTATTCTGGAAAAAGACCTTCAGATAAGGATAAATTAAATAAATAGTATAAAGGCTTAGCAATAATATAACGACACATTTTTAAAAATAATGGTGGAATACCGGCAGGCACTGAACTGGCGTTGTCACTAAGTGAACCAAGAAAATCTATTATTTCATTTTCCGATATGATACAATTGTTGAAGAAAAATGTTGAGTGTGAATATCAGGAATATCAATTAAATCTATATCAAAAACATTATTAGTATCATATACTGAAGAAAAATAACTGGCGAATACATTAGTAATATCATTCATGTTATCTGCATATTATCACAAAAGACCGAGAGTGGAATATTATTACGATTCGATCTTAAAGTATTGATATACTTCCAAAACGATTTCAAATTAATATTAATGTTGTTTTCAATTTTAAAAATTTAGTTGGAATAAACTTTCGTAGATAAAACTTTACATTTTTTTCGCAAATCTGAAAAAGCCATATAATCAGACTGAGAATTAGAAATTCTAAATTTCTTATGAGCCAGCTTTTTTAAGTTAATTAAATTTCTAAGAGATGAGTTCGACCAGGTTATGGAATGCCGGTGTTCAAGGTTTAATTTAACTTTAGGATTAAAAATATCAATATCATACAATTTTGAAATGGATTTTTCTAAATCAAGGTTTAAGATATTATAGTTTAAATCAATATTGGATAAAAATGTAATTAAATCATTAAAATTTGTATTACTAAAATTATGAATAATAGGAGAGAAAGACTCAGGGACCACATTCGAGACTAAAATAGAATAAATAAAATCAAGAGGTGGATGATAAGAATCAATAAGAGGTGTAAGTGAGCAACCCATTCGTATATTATCAATATTTGTATTAGTTAATACTAAGTCTAGAATGTCATTACGGAAGTTACATACATTGTTAACTTGTTTTAGACCTAAATAACATAAATAGGATTGTATAAACACATTAGCATTAGGATCATTATACAAAGAATAATCCGACCACGGGAAGCCAGACAAATTAAAACCACCGATAATTAGGACGTTTAAAATAGAGTAATTATGAATAATTTTTTCAACTATCTCACAGTGCTTCATATATATATCCTATGTGACGATGGAGGTATGTAGACACAACTTAATAGTATATTAATTTTATTGTATTTTAATAGCACAAAAATGTGTTGAATGCCAGGAACAAAATCAACATTTATTAATGAGCAATCATATTTATTCTTAACTGCCAATAAAACACCACCGCTTCTACTATTTAACATAGTGTCTCTATCGTCTCTAAACACATTATAATCGCAATGTCCTAATTCCACATTACTAATAGAATCATTAAGCCAAGTTTCAGATAAATATAATAAATCACAACACAAATTACTAACCGAATCACGAAAAAAGGAAATTTAGTTCTAAGGCCTCTAACATTTTGGTACATTACATGGAATTTAAAAAATCCTGGGGCTTAGATGTTGAACCTTCCAAATTTTTAACAATTCGTGGAACTCCTTTGATAAATTTGATTGTTAATCCAGTTTCGCCATTTGATAAACGGGCAGCCAACTCTTCACGCAGTTTCTTCATGGAATCTCTTTGAAGCTGAGTACGATCCGAACTAATGTTTATCCGAGAAAGAGGAACATGAAGAAAGTTTTCGTTTATTTTTTAAAATATCGAACGTATTTGATGAGGTCGAAAATACAGCTTTAATTGGGCGCAATTTGCCACTTTTATAACGATCCAAACAATTAACTTTCAACTGTACAATTTCAGAGTCCACACCAATAGACTTAAGAGTATTTTTAATCTGAATAAAATCATGAGTAATACGATCATCTAATTGATTAGAATCACTTTCTTCAATATTATAGAAAATGAGATTAGTTGCTCGACTATTACGATCATTAATTTCATTAATAATAAACCCATTATCAAATGAATTATTAGAACTAAATGAGTGAGAATTTTTCAAGCCTTCAACTTCAACAAGCAATTTTTTTATCAATAATTTTAATTGAGGCAAGTCTTTAAGACCATTTTCACAACCAGTGCAGAAATACTTTAAAGTTCTGTTTTTCAAAGACACACATTTGATTTCCGATGTAGTAAGGCCTGAACATTTATTATGAACAAGAGTAGCACATCCGTCACATTTTATAGGTAAATCCAATTCAGCAAATCGCGTATCACAAACAATACACTTGGTATCAGCAGACATCATTAAAAATTTTAATTGAAATTATCACTAATAACTGTAAACACCTAATTAAAGTTTAAAACTTATAACACAGAACTCCAGAAACACACGTCTAACCGCTACGAGTTCCAAATGATAACTGTTATAATATATATTGAAATTGTACCAGTCTCTGTGGTAGATGAACAAGATTGAGATGATGAATAAGGTACACCTTGTGACAATGATTCCAAATATAACAGGAAATTATTAGGATCAATATCCGCAGATCCTGTTTCAATATTATCATTTTCTGTTATACTGTGATCAGAGGCGCAAACTAATTCAAATTATGGGGGGGCAAAACAAAAGTATTCAATACCCACCTATTAAAAAAAAAATTTTCACTGTGCTCACTTACATATAAATAATAATAATAAAATGTATCAAATAAAAATAGAATATAATATAATTTACATTGTGAAATAACAGTATTCACCAAATTTCTTTAAAAAGAATAACCGTTAACTTGATTAAAATTAATTTTCAAAAAAGGCGTAATAATAAATAAAACTGATACCTCATTTTTCAAATTTATTTTTATATTTTCATTTGATTATAAAAAAAGTATAAAATATTTGTATACAAAATGTTGATATCTAATATCTTTATTTAAACATATATTTAGATATTTTCATATAGGCAGCACAATACTTTAATATATTATAATTAATTGTTTAATAAATCAATGAGTTTAAAAGAAAGGAACTGTTTTTTGAAAATATATCAATAACACTGTCAATATTGATATCAATATCTGATTCACACGATATTATCATTAATGCATCTAATCGGTCTTCTGTCATTGTGCTTCTTAATTTACTTTTAAGTATGGAAAGTTTTGAAAAACTCCGTTCTGTAGTGGCGCTAGCCAATGGCAAGGTTACTCCAATTTTAAGCGAAGTATATAGATGTGGAAATACTGTTGTTAGTCCACTTATTTTTAAGACTTGTAAAATTGTAGCCATACTGTTTCCATTAATAGGAAGTTCACCATTTTTTGTTTCTAGTTCTAAGTAGTCACAAGAACTTGATTCATCCGTTTTTTCAGCATCTGAATCGTTATCTAAAAATCTATCAATGCCATTATCATGCAACTTAAACGGCAAATATTTCTTTGTTTCAAAATTATAATAGCACTTGGAAAACTGAACATATTCTCTAATAAGATCATTTTTATTTATAAATTGTTTATACACTGTAGTGAAAACATCAAATGCATCTAATGGTAATTTAGTGTGATCATCTGCAACTTCTTTTAGACGACGTCGAGAAAAAAGTGATAAATCTTTACATAAGCCTGTGGAAATATCACTAAAACGCTCTTGGATTTGAATAAGAACTACATCTATAGCAACGTAGTAAGTGTTGACTTTGAAATTTAAAAGAGGATCATCAATAGGTTCATCAACAATATTTTCTCCAGGCATACAAGGGACGCGTTTTCTGCGAGTTAAAGTTAATGGTTTAAATTCATCGGCACAAATCAAACTATTATTTTTAAATTCTTTTACTCTTTGTGTAATTTTAACAAATCCGTCTTCATTTCTGAGTTTTTTCAAATAATCAATACTTTTTAAAACAGACTCAGTAGCACCAAGTAAGTCCAGATCTTTTGCCTGAAGTATTTTACTTAAAGGGGATATTATATCAAAAATCTGAGTAAAAGTAAATGCAGTAAGCAAAAATCTATCAGATTTAATATTCTCTGAAATACTTCTAGCTTGATGAGAACTTTTACGGTCATTTGATCCTGCATTATTTTCTAATTCATCCAATGTATCACAAAGCGCATCAAAAGTTAAAATTACTGTTCTCATAGCTAAATCGTGTGACCACCACCTCGTGGTTTCTACCCTTTTAAATCGCCTTATTTGTTTGTTTGGATACAATTTCTTTGAGTTTTTCTCAAATATCACTACCCTATTTTTACTTGACGAAATAAAATCATAAATTGTCTCTATTATTCCAAACATATCTCTAGCGTTAGAAGAGCAGCTTACAGCATCTGTAAGAACAAGATTAAGTCTGTGTGCATAGCACCATACATAAGTTGCTGCGGGATTATATGATTTTATTAAGGCTTGTAAGCCACCATAAGCACCTCTCATGTTGGAGGCCCCATCGTATGATTGTCCTATTAAATTTTGCTTCCAGTTGAGTCCATTTATTTCACAAATATTTTCAAAAACTGATAAAAGATGTTGGGCAGTTGTACTTGAACATTGTTTTATACTAAGTAACCTTTCATATACGCTACTAGTCTCTTCATTAAAATATCGAATAACAAAAGATAATTGTTCTTTTTTTGAATTATCAAAAGTAGTGTCCATGGATACACTAAACAATTTTCCGTTTCTAACTTGATCAGAAATGTTCAAACGAATAAATTGAGCTGTAGCTTCAATCAACTGATTTTGTCGCAACCAAGAAATATAGTTAAATTTACATTTATTTTTATTATTTTTAATTCCATTTATATAAGTAGCTAAGACAGGAGAATACTTTGCTAATAGCATAACTAGATCCTTAAAATTCCCTTGGATTTGATTTTGAGATGTTTTCCAATTTTCTCTGTGTCCTCTAAATGCTAAAGAGTGCCTGGCTAAATATACAGTGATATCAATCAATTGACTAACAATTAGTCTATTAGTAGCAATTTCTTTATTTTTCGCTTCTTCTAGAGCGGGCAGTAATGGAAGACATTCAAACATTAATTTTAATTGAAGACTAGCTTCAACATGTCGATAGGAAGTCTCATGTAAAATGAACTTGGAAGTAGCTTTTTTCCACGAGTTAAAACCATCCGTAGTCCATGAATTCTTTTCTCCGGTCAACATACAAGACATGCAATAAACTTTGTCTTCACTTACAGAGTATGTAAGCCAGTCTCGTTTAATAACAGTTCCGTCTTGCATACTTTTAGCAAACCATTCTGGTCTAAAATGTCTTCCATTATTCAATGGAAATTTATAATTTTTCATTTCTCTGCTGTTAGGCTGACAAGGACCATTTTTTAAAATCAACTTTTTAAACTTATATGACAAAGGGACGAGCATTTTTATTTTGGCAGGATCTTTAGTGTTTATAATAGCAAAATCATTATCATTTTTGTCATCTTCATTGTTTTTGTTAAAATCTAGAATTGAAAATCAAATTTTAACTATATGAGCTTCAAATTTCTAAATATGCCTGATATCTAAATTGATAATTGTCACAAATTACCAAACATACTCATTATATAACTTTTAATTATTATTGTGGACAGTTGACTGAAACTTTATTTAGAATCTTAAAGATATATATATAAAAAAATGATTTTAAAAAACTTTTAACAAATTGTAATTTTATGTGCAATTTTTGTTTGTTAGTGACAAAAATTAAATATACTAGAACTATAATGTAATTGTATATCTGAATTTGTAAATTATCTTACAAAGAAATAATGTTAAGTTTTAAAATTACAGAATTTTTTTGACGTTATAGACCTTGTTAAAATAATAAAATGCAATAAATTATATTATAATATACTAATATAATATTAACCATACTTATTACAAAAATATATTTATATTTTATTTTATATTTTTGATGTGACTTGTATATTTTATGCAGCGGAAGCATTAGTAACTAGTATGGTGAACTTGGATTTTAGATGCATTCATTTAAAGTAAATTAAGTATAGATTCATGATTTTGGTTAGAGTTGTAAAAGATATCTAAATACAATTTATTGAGTAACTTGCCTAGTGTTGCTTATTTAAAATTTATTTACATACCTATTTTATCAGTATCATATATTTTTAAAGGATTTTCAGGATTAACTACAGTATCAACAACATTGATCTTTTCTAAGAATCCTTCATGCTCATCTGTAGCAGTACCTGAGAATAAAAATATAACATGTATTTCAAAAGGATAAATAATATAATATTATGGTAACAGATAACATAATGCTGTACTCTATTTATTAGTTTTATAATATATAATATTAACCATTCATTTTAATTAATGACTAAGTAGTTAAAAAAATAATTTACCAGCAGTGTCATTGTAGCTAATGTCATGTGTTGTCGCTAGTGGTAATGTAGGAGTTACATTCTGAACTGTATCACTCAGCCCAACTACAAATTAAAAAAAAAATATTGGTATAAAAATTAAAATTGTTTTAAAGTGTTTATATTAAAAATTTTAAATACCTATTTTATCAGTATCATATATTTCTAAAGGATTTTCAGGATTAACTACAATATCAACAACATTGATCTTTTCTAAGAATCCTTCATGCTCATCTGTAGCAGTACCTGAGAATAAAAATATAACATGTATTTCAAAAGGATAAATAATATAATATTATGGTAACAGATAACATAATGCTGTACTCTATTTATTAGTTTTATAATATATAATATTAACCATTCATTTTAATTAATGACTAAGTAGTTAAAAAAATAATTTACCAGCAGTGTCATTGTAGCTAATGTCATGTGTTGTCGCTAGTGGTAATGTAGGAGTTACATTCTGAACTGCATCACTCAGCCCAACTACAAATTAAAAAATTATATTAATACCATAATTTAGTTCTTGAAGTTTTTCAGAAGATCGTATATATGCCTATAAATTCTTAGAGTAAAAATAAAGTTATTTACTTACTACAGAGATGTTTTTTTTTTGTTGAAATTTCGGTTGTCGAAGATCTTTTGAAATAAGATGATATACTTTTATTTGCACATGAATTATTTAATTTAATAACTTTACAAGTTGTTTTGTGTCTAATCCAATTAGTGTCATTTAAAGCACCTTTCTTTTTACCACACAAACACATTAAATCTGCTGACATATTGAAACGCACAGACACAGTTCAACAATAAGTTTTAAGTTAAAATAATAAAACCCAAATAATGCAATATAATAAAATATTGATGCACATAAGTGATAACTAATAAGTAATAATATATAACAGACAACAGTAAACAGAAAGTGTTAATAATTAAATATAACATCTCTCAACATTCAACGTATTGTATCCCATTATAATCAATTGGCCACACCACAACAAGAGTTGGAATATTTTGTGATATCAATTCTATTTATAGATGAAGTACTGTTTATAATAACAGAAACATAATACAAACCATGATAAAACAATTTATCATGATACAAACCACGGACTAATATAGTAGTATCTTAGTCTGTGATACAAACTATGTATTATCAAATTATCAATACATTGGTGCACACTGTTTACGTTTTATTCTGTGTTACACTGTTACGTACATAGACATAATAGAACATTCTATTATGACGTCTATGGTTACGTACTTCAAGTCGCCAATTGATTTTATCACAGTATATAATATTTAAGTTTTAATATTAATGTTTTCATTATAATAACTAATAGGTTCAAGGTTGTACCTACCTAACACAGTCACACAGAACATTGTAAATTACGTAGTATAAGTATATTGATGTATGCTTATTGTAATGTCTGAAAATTGACCATCGAGTATCAATCAATTGACCACCTACCTACCAAATGAAGGGGGGCAGTTGCCTCCCCTGCACCCCTAGATTTGCGCCTCTGACTGTGATCATTAATATCTTGCTCTTGATCTGTATCATTATTTTTTTTATTAAATTATATGTATTAACTCAATTAAGTAAATGACACTAGTTTTTGAGGTAACAGACATTAAATGTTGGTAACGTTTATCTAGATAAATAGCTAAATACAATTTATAAAAAAAATTACACATTAGTCGTTAGAATTTAATATACCTACATGGTATAAACAACTAATTATTACTTTAATAGTACATAGTTGTGTGTGTAATAAATATTATTACTTATTTATATTATAAAATATAATTAAATAACAATTTACATTATTACATAGGTACCTGATTCAAATACAGGATTGGTAAAAATGTTTTTTTGTCGTTCAGCCATATTTTTTTATTAATGTTTTTGATAGTGGAATATTTATTTTTGATAAGGACGTTTGAGTCTAACCAAATACCATACACATCACCAATAGTTAAAGAGGTCGATTGCATTTGGACTGTGGCAATTTTAGCTGGATCTAAAGCTGTAACCTGGTTAATTCGTAACAATTTCTTAATTGTTAAATTGTACAGCCAAAAACATGATAAAAAAATATTTTAAGCTTATGGCTTTTAATAATTATTGATTATTACTGAAAACTTATACAACAACTTACCATATTTTCAACTGAATTCCAATCATTAGAAGATAAGATAATTTGATTATTAGTCATGCAAAATTGCTTAAGTTCAATAAGTCTGGACAACATATTGAATGTACTATTGCACCTAGTTTCAATGTCCAAAATTGCCTGCTTTAGTCCTTCCCTTTTCAACTAGGCTGCATATGTTTGCGTTCTTAAAGTTTTTACTGCCTTAACAAAACAATTAAAAACATTTTGAATTTTTAAAACTTACATACTTTGCGAGATTTAAGCAGAATGCCTTGAATTGAACGGTCTTGCATTGAATCACGAATGGCGAGCTGAAATGTATGAACTGCACATCTCATACATGTGGTTAATGGTTCCATCTAAATACCAGATGTACCTATTATTTCTTGCATATTTTTTAATAATGATTCTTCGTCTGTAATTAATAAAGATAGCACATTACAATATATTTGTAGTTAATTCAATAATTAATGTTCAATTTAAAAATAACTACCGTCTTCAATATTTTCTTCATCATTATCTTCTAAAGTTTCTTTGAATAAGTCAACCATTTTAATCATGTTCCTTGCGTTATCACAGGTTATGGAGTATATTTGTGCAGAAATTATTTTGTATCTTTCCATTACAAGCAATACCTTATAAATTATATTTTATAATATTAAATTAAAATATGAATCATTGTTAAATCAATCTAAAAATGTGTAATAATCATAAGCGTGCCGCGTACTCTAATATTGTCAGTAGGGTAGACAATAGTGATACTTAAAATTATATACCTATGTATTCATGATGCAAATGGTATACTTAAGTTCTTTTCAATAACTAGTCAAAAGTGATAACATTGTTTTAACCACTATACACTATAACATTAAAACAAATAAATAAACCACACAAAATATTCATTGCAATATCACTGGTAAAAAAATATAATATACCTTTTTATATAAGGTAATTTTAAATTTTTTAATATTGTATTTATTTTCAAGTGTGAAATACTAATATAGTTACTACAAGTCTATAATTAAATAGTAATCGGTTGTCCCACTCCAATTCCCATACTAAGGATAAGGTAATAATTTATAAGTTATAACAGGTACATATATTTTTTTTCTCCAAATTACCTAAACACTAGCAATTTATAATAAGATGTATTATATGAAAAATATTGTACACAAAAAAAAAATATACACAGAATAATGATCTGCCTGCCCTAACTACCCCATATGCTTATTTTGTGATAGTAACATTAATAAAATTAAAACTTATTGGTTAGGTATTTAAATAATTTAAAAAATATTACTAGTGTTATGAAATGTATAATATTATATTGTATTAATATGTATGTACAAAATAATAGGTATACTAAGTTATCAAATAATAAAATGGGTACCTACTTAGGCACCTAACACCTATAAATTATAATAGTAGGTAGGTACTTATATAATTTAATAATTTAAAATATGCAATAAATTGGAAATTTAAATTAAGTATTTCAAATGTATAAGTGGTACATATCACTTGTAATTATAAGTTTGAAGTTATGAATTACAGTTGTAATTTGAAGACAATGCAAATTATTTATTTTTTCAAGTTTTATTTATTTATTTAATGCAGTGGTTTTCAACCTTTTTCACATTGTGGCACACTTCATCTCTTACAAAATTTTCGCGGCACACCAATTCATATAAATATATAATTATAATACGTGAAGCATATGATGAAAAAATGTGATAGCAGAAATATTTATTTTATATCATAATATTGTAATACAAGGAAATAAAAATACATCGATTAACATTAATGAGATATTTGTGCTTGACGTGTTGAACACAAGTGTTTAATTCGAGGACGAACTGTTGACAAGGCCACTCTCAGTTCTTCCTCGACGGATTGAAGTCGTTCTCTTTTTTTACTTTTTATTGTTGTGACTGCTGAGAATCCTTGTTCGCATAGATACGATGTGGAGAATGGTAGTAAAATTGTTATTGCTTTTATAGATATTTCAGGAAATTCTGCTTGAGCATAGATCCAGAATTTGTTAACGGTCATTTCTTTAAATTTTAACTTTAATGTTCGATCATTTTTCAGTGAGATAAGATTATCTTCTTCGACAAATGTCAAACCAATCACCTCATTCACTGATACACTGAATGGATTCCGCACCCAGTCATAGTCTTCGACGTTTATGCTGGGAAAGTATTTCATCATTTTGTCTTTCAGTAACATGATAGATTCGCTTATTAACGATACGAGGCTGGCGTCAACATCTCGCTCTGCAGTTCGTGGGAACATTGTCAATTTGTTTTGGTCAACTTGTGTTTTCCACAGAGTTAATTTTTCATTAAAAGCCATCATTTTGTCAGTTGATGTTGACATTACGACCTTGCATGCTTGTATTTAATTTATTCAAATGTTCAAAAATATCAGTTAAAAAAGATACTTTTGTCCACCACTGGTCATCTCCAAGAAACTCGTACTTCGATTCTTCCATTGTTAAAAATACAATTATTTCTTCACTCAAATCATAAAAACGTGATAATACTCGGCCTCTTGATAACCATCTTATTGCACTGTGAAAAAGTAATTTTGAGTTATCTGAATCCATACCGTCACAAATTTTTTCAAACAACCTTGACTTAAGTGAACTACTTTTAATAAAATTGATCACTTTCACAACTTGATCCAAAACTTCTCTTAAATCACCTACTAATGTTTTTGTCATAAGGGCTTCTCTATGTAGAAAACAGTGGGTGAAAATTATATTTTCATTTTTTTTCTTGGTAAAAGAAGTAAAGCCTTTTACTGAGCCCGTCATCGCGGGAGCGCCGTCGGTACATACTCCAATACATTTTTCCCATGGTAAATTAGCTAATTTCAGATAATTGTCCACGATTTCGAAAATGTCTTCACCTTTAGTTGTCTCAGAAAGTGTTATACAACACAAAAAGTTTTCCATGATGTCTTCGTTGGAAACTATGCGTATAAATATCAAAAGTTGTGCTTGTCCACTTATATCAGTTGACTCGTCTAGTTGTAATGCAAATAATGGAGAGTCACGGGATTGTCGCAATACTTGTTCTTCAATATCTTCAGACATGTGTTCTATACGCCTACTAACGGTGTTGTCAGATACAGGAATTTTTAATACTTCTTTTTCAGCTTCTTCGCCAAAAAGTACTTTTACTATTTCACGGCAAGCAGGTAAAATAAGTTTTTCTGCTATAGTGTGTGGTTTCATTTGTTTAGCTACAAGCTCTGCGACTAGATAACTAGCTTCTTGAGTTTTATCCGAAATGGTTACTATTTTTGTCATTTTTGCAGATTGTTGTGTTTCTGATTTTAGTAAACGTTGAAAATATGAAGCATTTTTATCGACCAAATGAGAATGCTTGGTAGAGAAATGACGTTTTAGTTTACTTGGAACCATTGACTCATTGGATAGTTTTCCGCCGCATACTAGACACCATGGACGAGGATCATCTACGTTACCGGACCAAGAAAATCCTATGTTTAAATAATCTTCATGATATTGACGTCTGATATTTAATTTAGTTTTTTTCTTTGGTGGTTCACTCACTAAAGTGCTATCAGTTGAACGAATTATAAATTTATCCATTATAAAAATTATAATTTTTATTTAAAATATACCTTGTAAGACATAAGTCATTAAAAACAAAAAGAAATACTTATTACGCGTAATCGTATTGTACATACAATACAATATTCTGCGACGCGACGTTAACGATCAAGACAGCTGCGGCGAAACGGGCATACTAATATTAAATATAGCCGCCAGTTGCTCGCAGTGAGTGGGGGAACTTTGGGTGGCAATAATTCATTTGGATGCGCGAGCAAGAAGTATTATATATTTATACGTATTAATGATTTAGCCTGTTTTGTTACTTATCGGTTTTCACCGAATATAGATAATAACACTGGTAAATACAAAATTATAAAACTAGGTATTAATAGATTTATCGCGGCACACTCCAAGGGTGCTCGCGGCACACCAGTGTGCCGCGGCACACCGGTTGAAAACCACTGATTTAATGTATAACTCTCTTCCTGTTTTAAATAATGTCCAGTATGGCTATCTAATAGTTCCGACATTCCCAGAGTCATAATTTTGATTTTGCCATCAGAAATAAATTGACAGTTGATTTCAATAATGCTTTTATTTAATCGTGCTACACAGTCAATCTTTAAAAAAACTAGTTTTCTACTCAAATATCTTGTGATACCATCAACAATATTATTGAATTTGTTTGAAATTTCTAGTTGTATATTCTTTTCATTTATAGTGAAATCTGCAATTACCAATACATATTTAACAGTTAATTCAAAACAAAGTAATCACTCACATTTTTTTACAGTACCTATTTAAAATTCTATAGTTAATTTTAGATACCCAAAGGCTAACCCTAAGGCTAGCTATGTAATATGTTATACTTTTTTGTTCATCTTACTTGATCCAATTGCTTTAATAATAGGGTCGATGACTGTCCGAAGTCCACTATCCGATAGAATTGACAGTGGTCGACCGTTATCTGTCACCAGTATAAAACATCCGTCAATCAAAGTTTGTTTATCAATTTCAACATTGTACATTTTTTCCTTACTTCAACAATGCCATTTAGTGTACTTTGTCTAGTTGTCTATAATCAATAAATGGTATTAAAATTCAAAAGAAACATGATATTAAAATAATAAAAATTAATTAGTTATTTAGTTTAAATTTAATTTCATACCTATAACCTAGCAAATAATTTCAAATATTTATATATAATTTAAAACTTTTAAATATCTATCTGATAAGTAATATGTAGTTACAACATATACCTAAGTTGTTGTTATAAGCTATAACAGTAATGATGATGTATGATAAATGATTATTGATAAATACCATACGATATAGGTAATAAAGTATAATAGGTAGGTACCAACAATAAATTATCATTAGTAAAGACTAATGATCCATTACAATTTACAACTGTAGGTATGTTAGCCATTTGGGTAATATTATGTAACAACTTACAAACTTACAAAATATAAAACTAGATTTAAGAACATGCATATATAGCTATATGCATTATGCATAGGTACATGTATAAATATAATATATATATAAATACTATATAGGTAATATGGTATGGAGTATAGGCACTGAAATCTATACAGTTGGTATACAGTTCAGTATTTTAATTTGCTTCATGTTTACACCTTATCTTAATAGTTAATTGTTAAATCTAAATTTAAAAATAGGAAAATTTAAAATTTTTAAAACCATAGGTATAAATTATTTTGGTAAATGTTATTTGATCTTACTTTTGACACTTTTGAACTTGTTTGACTATGCTTTTCTGTTATCAACAATTCATATTCCTCTGTATGAATTTTTTGAATATGCCTCTCTAAATTGGCTGCATGTTTCCCAACCAAGTTGGCAGAACAACCTTCAACTAGACATTGGCTTTTGGTCAGAGCAGAGTTATATTTAAAAAAAAGACTTTCGACTGGATTTATTTTCACCATTTTAAATTTTTGTTGAAATATACAATTAATATTAGTATTCAAACCATGTAAACACACGTGCGTGTACAATGTCGTTTTCTAATAGATACTTATGCAGTTACGATATAGCTGTGTAACACCTTTACTATCGCTTTCTATATTATATACGGATACGGGATGGCCTCGATTGTTCATATAAATAGGGCCTTTGATGTATGTAATAATCACTTGCACAGACGCTGTCATACCGAGTGTACGCGGTGTGTGTGTATAGTCACAGTTTAATTGTCCAGTTGTACGTTATTATATATTATACTTATACATAATCATATTGTCGTGTTATTACTTATTATATTAATGCTAACATCATTAGTCCGTCAAGCTTCACTTTCAACAATTTTGATATAATGAATATAAAATAAAATAAAAATGTACACAGTATAAGCATAAATTGGAGACTGATGAGAATGACATAGGTAGGTACTCGATTGATGACTGCCTGACGGACGCGGATCGGCCGAACAGTTGTAGATAATATCATTAATAATAATTTACTCAAATACTTCAAATTACAACAATACAGTCGTGCATAGCCTCATAGGGGCGAATCATAAGTTTAGTAATAATATAAAATATAGATTATTATTCGTATTAACTATTAATATTTCGTAATACTCAGTAATTGCAGCTTGTACGGCCAATTGGGCCAATTCATCTTAAACATAGATAATATAAGAATGGATAGGGCATAAGAGCTTATCACATGAAAATTTAGTGATACTATTTTTAAGGTTATATAAGGCAAATATTGATATGATAATTGATTAATAATAATAAATAAAATTTATATACTTTCATTTTGTTAAAATATTATTTTCCATTTTCCAGGCACAGGTGGCACAAAAATCAAAATACAAACTGACAAATATCTAAATATAACTGACTATCATGTTATTATTATTATTATTTAATAAAATAGTTTTGCACATAACCTTAAAAAGCCTCATATAGTCTTTCTCTCTTTACGTTCTCTCTTCCCCAAAAAAGCACACGGCCTCATATGGAACTGGTATAGGCATGTCCTATCCATTCTTATATTATCTATGATCTTAAACAAAATGTTTGTCAACTTTCCTTTAATTATTGCAACAATGGTATGTCCTGTTTGTTCAAATAGATTTTTAAGTTAAGAAATAATTGTAACAGTCAATTGATCAACTGATGATTTAAGTTTCTTACAAGATATAATGGAAGATTTTAATTTTACACCATCACATTTAAAAATTGTGACACAAGTATGACACAAGCCCTGGACTTCAAAGGGCATTTAATCATCGAACCAGTCAATTGATCAACTGATGATTTAAGTTTCTTACAAGATATAATGGAAGATTTTAATTTAACACCATCACATTTAAAAATTGTGACACAAGTATGACACAAGCCCTGGACTTCAAAGGGCATTTAATCATCGAACCAGAGGTACCTCTTATTAACAGCGAAAACTTAAAACACGTCTGGACTTAAACACTCAATTAAAGGATATCCTCACTGTTCTTAAAGTGAAAAAAAGAGTTATTTTACCTAAGAGGAATTTTAAACTTTATTTCGCCAATCCAAGTGCAATAAATTCAGTTGTACATTATATTGCACTGTGTTATAGAGAACCAAATAATACATGGGAAAAAATTGATGATGAATTTCAACAAAAATGAAAAACTGTAAGACCATCAACCGAGGCACTAAACTGTCAATATTTAATATACAGTAAATCATTTTAAATAAATAAAAATTATAATAAATATTATATAGTTTAATATACGAGCTTGTATAATTATTTATTTGTTTACGCCTTATGTCTCTAGTACTTGACGTCGACGCTCTTTAATTTCTTCCCAATCCTTGGCAGGTATGAACTAGTCATCAAAGTAATTGATAACTATTCGGTTCTTTAGCGGTCTCATTGCTCGGTCCATCATTTTGGTGAACTCAAACTGAGCGTACTTTAACCCAAATACCATTCGTGTGAATTGACCCTTTCCATCAGGTGTGATAAAACTTGTCAATAGGATTTGTAAATAAGCGTGGGCCAGATCTAACATGGTGAACATTCGGTATTCCACCATTTGTTCCAGTAAGGTAAGAGGATAGACCTGTTTGATCATTTAACTGTCGATAGTCCACGATTAGTCTCAACTCACCTGTCTTCTTACGTACTAGGAGCACCTTCCGCATAAGCCGAAATTGAATCTTCAACAATACCATGGTCTTTCCACACCTTAGCGTGTTGCTGGATTTCTTCTCTCTCGTTTCTAGATGCGAGATATGGTTTGGCGGGAAATGGTTCACTACCTGGTTTTAAGTTGATATCTATGGTGCTTAGATCAGTGCACCCTAATTCATTCATAGATAATGCAAAACAGCCTCTGTAATCGTTCACGAGGTCGAGTAACTCTGGATATCACCTTACGTCAGTAGGTGGTTGAACGGTTCTGCTCCCACCTACGGAAATTGAGCCACTACTACACGCCTTGCAGGTATGTGTTCGCTTGTACTTCCATAGCGAGTTCAGAGTTGTACCTGTACCTAGACCTTATTCACTACTACTGTCACCACATCCACACAAATAGCTTCTATGCGCTTGGCGTCACGCACAATCAGTGTACCCTTAGCTGAACAGACTTCGTTTGAGGGTCACCTGAGTAAATATAAATGAAATAGTGTTATAATAAGTGAGCGAGCCGAGTCTCCATGTTTAATGTAAAACATGTTAATTGTAATTTTAATGATCAATTCAAGATAGATAGCTTAAATGTAAAGTGTATCTAATACAAAATATTGTAATTTGTATATAGTGTCTACTCGTCAGCAATTTTTCGCCTTAATTATTGTGGCATTAATTAAAGATACACATGTTAGAATAAAATGAAAATAGTTAACAATTACTTTAGATAGTACCTTCGCACCACGATCGACCAATCAACAGGAGCTGATGGCTGGTGTCAGGTACTATATAGATGTCTGCTGCCGCGAGTGTCCCTTCGTTGATGATCAGGCTAACTAGGTACTGTTTCCCCAATTGTAGTAATTTCCGCATTTACGCCGAAACCTCGTCTTGTCAGATTCCCAATTTAAAAGCTGAAAAACTCCGTCGTAATATGCATACTGATGATACTTAGTCGATAAAGTCATTTATGGCATGCACACCATTTAGGTAGGTACACTTGCTTTTCATGTAAGGTGCCACCACTCCGTCGATCCGGACGTATCGATGTGCACATTGTACTTTTGTCCACATTTGGCTTTCCCTCTTCCTTATGTTTCACTGTGCAGGACTTGTGGTATTTACCACCGAACCGGTGACATGAGGTGCAATTATCATTATTTTGTCGAGACGAAGGACAATCGCTCCGATTATGCCCTGTCATATTATAATTCCAACAACGTAATTTACTTTTAAATCCCGCTACAGGTACTACACTTTTCTTCTTGTCTTCGGACACGATAGTACCATATGTAGTGAGATTGGGCGGCTTCACACTTCCACGCTTGTCAACATCTCGGACTGTTTTCGGGTTCCACGGTGTTTTGTCCGTGCCGCGGCCGTGATTTTCCGCACATCCTTTTGAATGCGTTCGTATGACAAAATATCTGCGAGTTCATCTGTATCCACATGCCCGGTGGATAAGAGCGTCCACTATATAACTATTCCGACTACAACCCCAGTAATACTTGCTCTTTGGTATCTGCGAACGTGAGGTTAACTAATTTGCATCTCCTCACTTTATTGTGGAAGTAGGTGGAGGTCGTTTCACCTTTAGTCTGCACTCTGGCTTGCATTTGCGCATAACGTTGAAGGCAACTTGTGTCTGCTCTAAAGGTTTTGTTATATAACAATTTGAATTAGGTCCACGTATAGTGATTTCATTAAGATTTCTCAGAAGCCAGTTTATGATCATATATAATAATACAACTACATACTAGCTATTATTGTATATAATAGTAATATTACGGAATGTGGATAAAATTAATTTCATTCAATTCATGAAAAGGTCAAACAATTGTCCATAAGTGTAGTAAAATGTAATTTTAACTAAATGGATACTTTTTATGAAGTGGACATCCATTTCATGAAATAGGCGATTTCACTAAGTGGATGCGACATAATATATATATTAAATACATGTGTAAATAGTTATGATAAAAAGAGATGTATACTAAATAAGTATATGATACATTTATTAAACCTACAATAAAAAACAAAATCATAATATTATTATAATAAATCAAACTTACCAAATATAATAGAACATGTTGCCAATGTGTAAAATACTTTTTTATTTCTTATCCCTTTATAGCTGTACCTACTCTTCAAGTAGTCTATCTTTGAATATAATACGTATAATTGCACAAACAGTGCACGTTAATGTGTTTCGGGAGTATCGTTTAATTTCTTCAACCTTCAAATTAACTTAAAATTCAACATTTTAATATTTTTATGCAGTTAAAAATTAATATAAATTATCATTTTAGCTCTAAACTCATTATTTTAAAGCTTATTTTTAAAGGTTTGCAAGTTTTCCTCAATGAACTATTTTAACTAGGCGACAAAAAAATATTTTATCAAAATAAATAATCATTTATAGTATGATAGAAGTACTAAGCTTGTATCAATTTATATACATTTAGCGGGATAGGTAAATTTTTCCCCAAATGACTTTATCTCGGTAAATTGGGTCCCGGAAAAATAGGTAATAAGTTATTGAGTCGAGTCGAGTCGTGTCATCGCTTCAGTGCTGACGTACGTAAGGGTCGGTAGCTCCAGTGGCAGCAGGGGTATGGAACTCCGTGAATTGTGGCCTTGAACACGGTCTCCAGGGGGGCGTGGCATACGTGCAATATGGAATGGTAAACAAGCCGACCCCGCGTAGCTTTATCCCGCCTAAGTTATGGTAAACGTTTACATAATATGGGTGACTTTGGGTATAACATCATTTTGGTGCGGTAAACGTTTCCATGTTTTTCTAAGGTTTAGACTTCGGATCTTAGGTAAACAAGACCAAAATCAGCTGATCGAGTTTCGCTTCTATGTTGTTTTATGGTGTCAGTCACCGTTCTCAGCAGCGTCACGTGTACAGGTGTGCATCCAACCACGCCTAGTGGCCAATAACAGAAGTTCTCGCGTGCGCCGTCAGTTAATTTTACTACTACAATGGAGCACGCCTTCATAAAGTATTCCTATCGGCTATCAGTCTCGGGCTACAGGCCGGGCATAAAGTATCTATATAGTTATCCTCGTTGCGTAACCACTATATAGCAGTAGGTATATTATCTTTAATTGTAATTAGTAGGGTTCGGATTTGAAGGCAATATAATCAATAAAAAAAGCATTTAAAATGTAAAAAAAAGGCAAAAAAAGGCATTTAATTTATATAAAAAGGCAATTCATAAATATACTACAAAATAAAATAGTGAACATTTTTTAAACACTTTTAAATGCACACATTTTGAGAAAAATACAAATTAAAAATGAGCATGAATACTAAACTACATTAAGTTTATGGTATTTTGTATAAATAGATTAGGTACCTTTTTCTTTAACAAGGTTTGTCCTAAGAATTAGTTAAAAACAATTTTAAATATTAACTTTCTTGAGTTATACCAGTTAATTTAATGCAAAATAAACAAAAGGTAAAAAAAAGGCAAAAAGGCATTTATAAGTAAAAAGGCAAAAAAAGGCAAAAAAAAAAGATCCATTCTCTAAGAAATTAAATGAAACACATTTTTGTATAAAAATTATTTTTCTATTATGATTAATAAAAGAAAGGCATTTGCCTTCAAATCCGAACCCTAGTAATTAGTACAATAAATATCAATGAGAAATTCCAGTTCAATTATTGAAGGTTATTTTTGGACGAGCGACGCCGGGCGAGCATTGTCGACTGTTTGAACAATCCAGCAGATTGCGGCTCCTAGTGGGGATGCGTAACGGCGACTGTGAATCGTGTTGTTTTTTTTTGTTACTGGTTTTTGGATTTTTGGTCTTCGCGAGTACCGTTATTCTTATTGTTGGTTTGCTGTATGCTGTATGTAGTGAATATACACGGTGGCTTATACTTTTTAGTGAAAACTCTTATATTTGTTTGTTATATCAGGACTTCATCGTCTCTTGGTTATTTTGTTCATCGTTCAGTATTGTTCAGTTTATATATTTCGTCTGTACGCTCAATTCGCCCACCCAATTTAAAATGGCGTACTTCGATGTAAGTATATTTTTTTTTCTATTTAATTTCATGGAATTGAGTACCACGCTATAAAACTGGTCGATATTTTAGTGGTCCTTATCTATACAATTAACCAAATATATGTTTCCTATACTTAGATCCAACATTAGCGGATAACATGTAAAAGCCATGGTTAAAAGGATGATGCATAAACTGTTTAATGATGATGTAATATCCTGGCAATCCAGTGATTGCTCGAATACTAGGTTTGCAGGTAGCAAGACCATGATGTTGATGAAGATAAAGGTGTATGTTGATATAACTGTAGATAGGTGTGAGTTAATTTTGTTTATTAGAATGTTCTTCAGTAAATTGTACCAAGTCCAAATTGACAATATTATTACACAAAGTGACCTGAAGGTGCTTGTAGCTAGAAAGAGCGAATACGTCTGAATTCAAGCCATTTCGGGGTCCCTCTTATAGTCCGGTCCCCGCTCCCCTTGTCTATTCATACTGTATCTCGGTTCTCACGGATGTGGTCTATGTGGCCATCGACCTGGCCACAGTCACGGCCCTTATTTAGGAACTTTCAAATTTTTAATTTCTCACCCTCCCAATTTTTTCATAACCATACAAAAGTTATATGGGTAAAATTTGGGGATGATTAATAATCCCCTTCAGGTGCCCCAAGAGGGTTGAATATTCATCAAAAGGGTAGTTTTAGGGTTATTCTGATTTAATTCATTATATATTGCATTTAGCATAAAATTGTATAGGACCTAAATTGTAGATTCAGGTACTCTCTATAAAAAACGTTCAAACTAAGTTTCTCGTAAATCTATTATTTTCTGTAAAAATTAGAATAAAATAAAAATTATTACCTTTTTCTGAAAAAAAAAAATCGAAATTTTCCATTTATTCTCTATATCAGAGGTCTCCAAACTTTTTTATTCAAGGGCCACAAAAAAAATCAAATGCTCTTAGCGGGCCAAAAGTTTATTAATACATATAATTTTTAATTTTATGATAATATAGGTACCTACCTATATAAATAATATGTTTACTTTATATTTTTGTATAAAATATTATTTACTTTACAATATACTTAAATCAGGGGCGAACGCAGGAAAAAATTTCGGGGGGGGTTTTGAAAAAATTTTAAGTAGGTATTCATAAATATCATATTATTCATACTGTATTACACTTTTCTATATTTTATTTTAGTCACTTATACTATATACATAAATACATAATGTCATAATACATATTACATAATATTATTATAGATAATAATTAATAACTAATTATTACAATTTGTCAATTTACATTATAAAACGAGATCTATGCGTCTTGGTTTTTTTGCCATTATGTCAATGACCTCTTCACAAGTCACTTCCACGTCTCTGTATAAGTTTAATAGCATCAATCCATTTAATCGCTCCTCACCAGTCTTGTTGCGCAGATATGTTTTTAATCTTCGAAGACAAGAAAAAGACCGTTCACTTGTTGCCACAGAAACGGGTAGAGTTGCACCAATCTGCAAAAATGTGTGTATTGATGGATACAATGCAGAATTACAATAGTTGAGAGTCTCAATAAATGTTCTAGGCCGTTTATCCTTTGACATATTTAAACAATGTCTGAAACAACAATGCATTTTATGTTTTAATATAGATCTCAAAACATATTTTTATGTATAAGAAATTTAATATTTTGTTACCTGTGCCACATGGTCATCTCAGCTATAAAATCATCAGTAGATCCCTTGATGTCAATTGGCCATTCTTTTGCAAAAGTATTTACCGTTTCACTGATTTCTTTTGTATTCAGCTCAGAACACTTAGTTGGAAGAATATTTTGAATTTTTGACAATAGTTCCCGGTGTTCAAGAAATCTTATTTTTAACTGCATTAATAAGTGGTCCAAAAAAGGATGAAAAATGGACCGACGAAAATATTCCTCTGGACCGCCTTCATAATTGTCTCTGTTCTTCTGTATTCCAATATTCCGCGGGGGTGCTAAATTAATATCCAATTTGTCCGCCATTTCTTTTGCTGCTGCATACAAGCTTTTGAATTTCAAGTCCGAATCACAACGCATTTCATTGATTTCATCATACACGTGATTTGCATAATCAATGCATAAGCTAAGATCACAATCTTCCTTTTGTAAAAACACACTGAGATTTTTCATTATGCTGAAAATCGGCTTTACTACTGTTAAAGCCATAATAAATTGAGGTGTTTTTATCGATGCAAGCAGGGCATGAGGTTTGACTCCGATGGTTTTCAAATTATTTTCATCCAGATACTCTAACGATAAGCAGATATGTTCATATACATCGTTGAACAAACTGAGTGAGTCCAAATGCTCAACCCATCTCGTTTCGCAAAATTTAAGAAGACGTGTTGGTTTCGCACTTGGGCAAGACACTTGAATTTTTTCTTTTAAAACTAGACCTGCCTTATTGGATAGACGAAAAAAATTTACAACCTCTTTAATTGTGCCTATGCAATTTCGGATGGACGATATTTTGCACGCATGTGTAATAGCCAAATTCAAATTATGATTAGCACAGTGGACGTAAATATCTTCCGGATATAGTTCTCGAACTTTAGCAGCACAGCCGTTGAATTTTCCGCTCATTGCACGCGCCCCATCATAGCCTAAACATTTTTATAAAGAAAATATAACATAACCTAATATATATAAAGTTATAACCTAATAAATATTAACACATACCTTGCCCTCTCATATTGGCCAGGTTTATGCCAATGTTTTCCATCGTGGTCAGCAACGTATTTGCAAGCCCCTTTCCGGTAACGTCCTCAACAGGGATAAAGCACAAAAAGTCTTCTCGAATTTTGTATTCGTCCATTTTATCGACAAATCGAGCGCATATTGAAAACTGTTCAATGCCACTCACATCCGTACTTTCGTCAGCAATGACAGAAAAATATCTAGATTTGTTTACACGTTGCACAATATTCGTCGTTATTTGTTTCCCTGCTGCATCAATTATTTCATTTTGAATACGATAGCTTAAATACGTTGAATTCGCACCCGCAGTATTTAAATGATTGGCCAAAGCTTGATCGCCGTTGTCTAGGGCATAACGAAGTAACGCTCTGAAATTCCCGTCGTTTTCTACCGGCATTTTCCGTGATAAAGAGCCCTGATCTCGATGACCTCTTAATGCTAATCCTTGCCTGCCACACAGCAAAACGGCTCGGACGATCGGAATTAACTTATGTCTGTTTTCGAGTTGTTGTATTTTTCGCCCTTTGTCAATTTCGCTGATCACGTCACTCTTCCGTTTTTCGTAAATCAACTTAAAATTTTGTCCATCCTCCATGGCGTCAAGGTGATATTTTTGACACAAGTATGACACAAGCCCTGGACTTCAAAGGGCATTTAATCATCGAACCAGAGGTACCTCTTATTAACAGCGAAAACTTAAAACACGTCTGGACTTAAACACTCAATTAAAGGATATCCTCACTGTTCTTAAAGTGAAAAAAAGAGTTATTTTACCTAAGAGGAATTTTAAACTTTATTTCGCCAATCCAAGTGCAATAAATTCAGTTGTACATTATATTGCACTGTGTTATAGAGAACCAAATAATACATGGGAAAAAATTGATGATGAATTTCAACAAAAATGAAAAACTGTAAGACCATCAACCGAGGCACTAAACTGTCAATATTTAATATACAGTAAATCATTTTAAATAAATAAAAATTATAATAAATATTATATAGTTTAATATACGAGCTTGTATAATTATTTATTTGTTTACGCCTTATGTCTCTAGTACTTGACGTCGACGCTCTTTAATTTCTTCCCAATCCTTGGCAGGTATGAACTAGTCATCAAAGTAATTGATAACTATTCGGTTCTTTAGCGGTCTCATTGCTCGGTCCATCATTTTGGTGAACTCAAACTGAGCGTACTTTAACCCAAATACCATTCGTGTGAATTGACCCTTTCCATCAGGTGTGATAAAACTTGTCAATAGGATTTGTAAATAAGCGTGGGCCAGATCTAACATGGTGAACATTCGGTATTCCACCATTTGTTCCAGTAAGGTAAGAGGATAGACCTGTTTGATCATTTAACTGTCGATAGTCCACGATTAGTCTCAACTCACCTGTCTTCTTACGTACTAGGAGCACCTTCCGCATAAGCCGAAATTGAATCTTCAACAATACCATGGTCTTTCCACACCTTAGCGTGTTGCTGGATTTCTTCTCTCTCGTTTCTAGATGCGAGATATGGTTTGGCGGGAAATGGTTCACTACCTGGTTTTAAGTTGATATCTATGGTGCTTAGATCAGTGCACCCTAATTCATTCATAGATAATGCAAAACAGCCTCTGTAATCGTTCACGAGGTCGAGTAACTCTGGATATCACCTTACGTCAGTAGGTGGTTGAACGGTTCTGCTCCCACCTACGGAAATTGAGCCACTACTACACGCCTTGCAGGTATGTGTTCGCTTGTACTTCCATAGCGAGTTCAGAGTTGTACCTGTACCTAGACCTTATTCACTACTACTGTCACCACATCCACACAAATAGCTTCTATGCGCTTGGCGTCACGCACAATCAGTGTACCCTTAGCTGAACAGACTTCGTTTGAGGGTCACCTGAGTAAATATAAATGAAATAGTGTTATAATAAGTGAGCGAGCCGAGTCTCCATGTTTAATGTAAAACATGTTAATTGTAATTTTAATGATCAATTCAAGATAGATAGCTTAAATGTAAAGTGTATCTAATACAAAATATTGTAATTTGTATATAGTGTCTACTCGTCAGCAATTTTTCGCCTTAATTATTGTGGCATTAATTAAAGATACACATGTTAGAATAAAATGAAAATAGTTAACAATTACTTTAGATAGTACCTTCGCACCACGATCGACCAATCAACAGGAGCTGATGGCTGGTGTCAGGTACTATATAGATGTCTGCTGCCGCGAGTGTCCCTTCGTTGATGATCAGGCTAACTAGGTACTGTTTCCCCAATTGTAGTAATTTCCGCATTTACGCCGAAACCTCGTCTTGTCAGATTCCCAATTTAAAAGCTGAAAAACTCCGTCGTAATATGCATACTGATGATACTTAGTCGATAAAGTCATTTATGGCATGCACACCATTTAGGTAGGTACACTTGCTTTTCATGTAAGGTGCCACCACTCCGTCGATCCGGACGTATCGATGTGCACATTGTACTTTTGTCCACATTTGGCTTTCCCTCTTCCTTATGTTTCACTGTGCAGGACTTGTGGTATTTACCACCGAACCGGTGACATGAGGTGCAATTATCATTATTTTGTCGAGACGAAGGACAATCGCTCCGATTATGCCCTGTCATATTATAATTCCAACAACGTAATTTACTTTTAAATCCCGCTACAGGTACTACACTTTTCTTCTTGTCTTCGGACACGATAGTACCATATGTAGTGAGATTGGGCGGCTTCACACTTCCACGCTTGTCAACATCTCGGACTGTTTTCGGGTTCCACGGTGTTTTGTCCGTGCCGCGGCCGTGATTTTCCGCACATCCTTTTGAATGCGTTCGTATGACAAAATATCTGCGAGTTCATCTGTATCCACATGCCCGGTGGATAAGAGCGTCCACTATATAACTATTCCGACTACAACCCCAGTAATACTTGCTCTTTGGTATCTGCGAACGTGAGGTTAACTAATTTGCATCTCCTCACTTTATTGTGGAAGTAGGTGGAGGTCGTTTCACCTTTAGTCTGCACTCTGGCTTGCATTTGCGCATAACGTTGAAGGCAACTTGTGTCTGCTCTAAAGGTTTTGTTATATAACAATTTGAATTAGGTCCACGTATAGTGATTTCATTAAGATTTCTCAGAAGCCAGTTTATGATCATATATAATAATACAACTACATACTAGCTATTATTGTATATAATAGTAATATTACGGAATGTGGATAAAATTAATTTCATTCAATTCATGAAAAGGTCAAACAATTGTCCATAAGTGTAGTAAAATGTAATTTTAACTAAATGGATACTTTTTATGAAGTGGACATCCATTTCATGAAATAGGCGATTTCACTAAGTGGATGCGACATAATATATATATTAAATACATGTGTAAATAGTTATGATAAAAAGAGATGTATACTAAATAAGTATATGATACATTTATTAAACCTACAATAAAAAACAAAATCATAATATTATTATAATAAATCAAACTTACCAAATATAATAGAACATGTTGCCAATGTGTAAAATACTTTTTTATTTCTTATCCCTTTATAGCTGTACCTACTCTTCAAGTAGTCTATCTTTGAATATAATACGTATAATTGCACAAACAGTGCACGTTAATGTGTTTCGGGAGTATCGTTTAATTTCTTCAACCTTCAAATTAACTTAAAATTCAACATTTTAATATTTTTATGCAGTTAAAAATTAATATAAATTATCATTTTAGCTCTAAACTCATTATTTTAAAGCTTATTTTTAAAGGTTTGCAAGTTTTCCTCAATGAACTATTTTAACTAGGCGACAAAAAAATATTTTATCAAAATAAATAATCATTTATAGTATGATAGAAGTACTAAGCTTGTATCAATTTATATACATTTAGCGGGATAGGTAAATTTTTCCCCAAATGACTTTATCTCGGTAAATTGGGTCCCGGAAAAATAGGTAATAAGTTATTGAGTCGAGTCGAGTCGTGTCATCGCTTCAGTGCTGACGTACGTAAGGGTCGGTAGCTCCAGTGGCAGCAGGGGTATGGAACTCCGTGAATTGTGGCCTTGAACACGGTCTCCAGGGGGGCGTGGCATACGTGCAATATGGAATGGTAAACAAGCCGACCCCGCGTAGCTTTATCCCGCCTAAGTTATGGTAAACGTTTACATAATATGGGTGACTTTGGGTATAACATCATTTTGGTGCGGTAAACGTTTCCATGTTTTTCTAAGGTTTAGACTTCGGATCTTAGGTAAACAAGACCAAAATCAGCTGATCGAGTTTCGCTTCTATGTTGTTTTATGGTGTCAGTCACCGTTCTCAGCAGCGTCACGTGTACAGGTGTGCATCCAACCACGCCTAGTGGCCAATAACAGAAGTTCTCGCGTGCGCCGTCAGTTAATTTTACTACTACAATGGAGCACGCCTTCATAAAGTATTCCTATCGGCTATCAGTCTCGGGCTACAGGCCGGGCATAAAGTATCTATATAGTTATCCTCGTTGCGTAACCACTATATAGCAGTAGGTATATTATCTTTAATTGTAATTAGTAGGGTTCGGATTTGAAGGCAATATAATCAATAAAAAAAGCATTTAAAATGTAAAAAAAAGGCAAAAAAAAGGCATTTAATTTATATAAAAAGGCAATTCATAAATATACTACAAAATAAAATAGTGAACATTTTTTAAACACTTTTAAATGCACACATTTTGAGAAAAATACAAATTAAAAATGAGCATGAATACTAAACTACATTAAGTTTATGGTATTTTGTATAAATAGATTAGGTACCTTTTTCTTTAACAAGGTTTGTCCTAAGAATTAGTTAAAAACAATTTTAAATATTAACTTTCTTGAGTTATACCAGTTAATTTAATGCAAAATAAACAAAAGGTAAAAAAAAGGCAAAAAGGCATTTATAAGTAAAAAGGCAAAAAAAGGCAAAAAAAAAAGATCCATTCTCTAAGAAATTAAATGAAACACATTTTTGTATAAAAATTATTTTTCTATTATGATTAATAAAAGAAAGGCATTTGCCTTCAAATCCGAACCCTAGTAATTAGTACAATAAATATCAATGAGAAATTCCAGTTCAATTATTGAAGGTTATTTTTGGACGAGCGACGCCGGGCGAGCATTGTCGACTGTTTGAACAATCCAGCAGATTGCGGCTCCTAGTGGGGATGCGTAACGGCGACTGTGAATCGTGTTGTTTTTTTTTGTTACTGGTTTTTGGATTTTTGGTCTTCGCGAGTACCGTTATTCTTATTGTTGGTTTGCTGTATGCTGTATGTAGTGAATATACACGGTGGCTTATACTTTTTAGTGAAAACTCTTATATTTGTTTGTTATATCAGGACTTCATCGTCTCTTGGTTATTTTGTTCATCGTTCAGTATTGTTCAGTTTATATATTTCGTCTGTACGCTCAATTCGCCCACCCAATTTAAAATGGCGTACTTCGATGTAAGTATATTTTTTTTTCTATTTAATTTCATGGAATTGAGTACCACGCTATAAAACTGGTCGATATTTTAGTGGTCCTTATCTATACAATTAACCAAATATATGTTTCCTATACTTAGATCCAACATTAGCGGATAACAT